ACTTCCATGGCTCCATTCCTGCTCAGCCCATCTTTAGCTGGCTGGTCTGGAGGCAGCCCAAGGCCACTAGATCCCAGAAGTTCCGCTTAGGCAATGATCTGCCAACCCAGGTCTTTTCCAGTGGGCAAGGGAGGTATTTCTCTCCATGGAAGCCCTAGGTCTCTCACCCCCTGCCCCATTTTATTGATACATATCATAAGTTTATCAATTTAAATGCTCAATTCAGGGGCGCCTGGGTGGCTCAGTCAAAGTCTCCCTTTGGCTCAGGTCATGATCCCAGGGTTCTGGGATCGAGCCCACATCGAGTCCCACATCAGACTCCTTGCTCAGTGGGGAGCCTGCTTCTCCCTCTCCCTCTGTCTGCCGCTCCCGCTGCTTGTGCGCTGTCAAATAAATAAAAAATCTTAAAAAAAATAAACGTTCAATTCAGCAATTTTTTAAGTGAATTCAGAGCTGTGCAACTGTCACTATAATCTAATTTTATATCTTCATCATTTCCCAAAAGAAACCCTATACCTACTAGCAGTCACTGATGTCATTTTAATTGGGCCCCAGCCCCATCCGGTTGCCTGTCTACTCTGTCTCTACGGATCTGCCGCCCATTCCAGACATTTCACATGAAAGGAATCACACATTATTTGGTCTCACATCTGGCTTCTTAGCTTGATGCTTTCTTTTTTTTTTTTAAGTTTTTATTTATTTGAGTGAGAGAATGAGCAGAGAAAGCAACAGAGGGAGAGGGAGAAGCAGGCCTCCTGCTGAGCAGGGAGCCCGATGTGGGGCTCCATCCCAAGACCCTGAGATCATGACCTGAGCCAAAGGCAGCCGCTCAACTAACTGAGTCACTCAGGAACCCCTAGATTCAATGTTTTAAAAACTGCCAGAGCTGCTTTCTGAAGGAGCTGCACCATTTCCCATCCCCCCGCCCCATACCGCAGTTCCAATTCCTCCACATCCTTGTCCACACTTTTAATTTTCCCTTTATTATTGCCTTTCATGGTGGGTTTGGTGTGGCAGGTCTTCTTATGGTTTTGATTTGTGTTTCCCTAATGATGCTAAGAATCTTTTCATGGGCTTATTGTTCATTTGTGTAGTTTTCCTAGAAATGTCTACTCAAATCTTTTCATTTTTTAAATTAAAAAGTTAATTTTTTTTACCTTTTACTTTTTAAGATTTATTTTTTTACAAAAATTTTTTTAAAAAATTGTTATTTAGGGGTGGCTGAGTGGCTCAGTGGGTTAAAGCCTCTGTCTTCGGCTCGGGTCATGATCCTGGGGTCTTGGGATAGAGCCCTGCGTTGGGCTCTCTGCTCTGCAGGGAGCCTGCTTCCTCCTCTCTCTCTGTGCCTACTTATGATCTCTGTCTGTCAAATAAATAAATAAAATTTGAAAAAAAAATTGTTATTTATTTGACAGAGAATGCACACAAGCAGGGGTAAGGGCAGAGGAAGAGGGAGAAGGAAAAGCAAACTCCAAGCTGAGCAAGGAGCCTGATGTGGGGATCCATCCCAGGACCCTAGGATCATGACCTGAGCCAAAGGCAGACATTTAAGCCACTGAGCCACCTAGGCGTCCCTAATTTTACCTTTTAATTTTTTTAAGATTTTATTTATTTGACAGACAGAGATCACAAGTAGGCAGAGAGAGGCAGGCAGAGAGAGGAGGAAGCAGGCTTCCCGCTGAGCAGAGAGCCCCATGTGGGGCTCGATCCCAGTACGCTGGCATCATGACCTGAGCCGAAGGCAGAGGCTTTAACCCACTGAGCCACCCAGGTGCACCTAATTTTACCTTTTAAATTAAGGTATTTAGGGGTGCCTGGGTGGTTAGACGTCTGCCTTCAGCTCAGGTCCTGATCCCAGGGTCCTGGGATAGAGCCCCACATCGGGCTCCCTGCTCAGCGGGAGGCCTGCTTCTCCCTCTCCCACTCCTTGTTTGTGTTCCCTCTCTGGCTGTGTGTCAAGTAAATAAATAAAATATTTAAGAAAAAAAAAAAGTACAAAACCTTATTAAGACTAAGGCCCATAGATTTTTTTTTTTTTTAGAGTTATTTTAGAGAGAGAGACCCTGTGCACATGCAGCGGTGGGGAGGGGCAGAGGGAGAGGGGGAAAGGAGAGAAGCAGACTCCGTTGAGCACAGAGCCCAGTGTGCGGCTTGATCTCAAGACTCTTAAGATCGTGACCTAAGCCAAAATTAAGATTTGGGACTCTCAACCGACTGAGCCACCCAGGTGGCCCTAAGGCCCTTATCTTTTCTTTTTTGTTAAGATTTATTTATTTGAGAGAGAGAGAGAGAGAGAAGTGGGAGGTGGGGCTGGGGCAGAGGAAGAGGGAGATAAACTCAAGCAGACGCTGTGCTGAGTACTGAGTCCAATGCCAGGCTAGATCTCCTGACCCTGAGATCAGGACCTGAGCTGAAACCAACAGTGGGACACTTAACCCATTGGCCCCCCGGGCGCCCCTCTTTTATCTTGTTGTCATTTTGCTTTTAGGGTTGTATCTAAAAATCATCCCCTAACCCAAGCTCACGAAAACATTCTCCTATAGTTTCCCATAGGAATTTTAGTTTTTAACTTTTACATTGAGAAAAAATGTAGCCTACTTTGAGTTCATTTTAAATACGGTGTGGGGGCTGCTATCCAAATGTGTTCTTTCACACGAGGATACCCAGTTGTACAAATACCACTTGTTCAAGACTGTTCTTGCCACACTGAACTGTCCTGGCCCCTTTGTGGAAGCTCAATCTCCCACAAAGTAAATCTATTTACTTCTGGACTCTCATTCCACTGATTCCAAATCTCTCTCCTTTTGAGTTGGTAACGGGGCAGAGGCTGAAAGCGCTCCTCCCCATGAAGGCTCGACCCGTGGGGGGCCTGAAGCCAGGTGCGGGTGCCGCACTCACGGGCCTGTTCCGGGGCAGGTGGCCTGTCGGGGAGGAGAGGGCTCGAGGAAGAGGAACATGAAACAGGGTGTTCCTGCCCCTCCTCACCCCGCCTCACCCCTCCCGAGCAGCAGCTGTTTGCCTGCTGCTCACATTCCTCCTGGAGGACCCAGGAGGAATGGGGAGGGAGGGCACTGCGGAAGAATGTGGGTGCCTGACAAGGCAGTTAAGAGGGAGACCTCGCCCTCCCTGCCCGCCCCGCCTGCTGCCTCTTCAGCCGCCTGCCGACTTTAGCACCTCACATCCTCCTGCTGCCCTGAGGAACCCCACGCAGAGCCTCCACTTACACCAAGGCCAAGGGCATCAGGGCTCAGAAGGGCCAGGCTACTGAGTCCTGGAAAGCACACTTGTAGAAGAGGCAGAGGCGGGTGGGCAGCTGCCCAGGCCCCCTCTTTCCCTGCTCAATGGGTGGGCAGAGTGGGAAAGGAAAAGGACAGGTCCCTAGGTCCCCTCCCCAATGGAGGTATCTGCAGAGCTGCTGGGCTCGAGGGAGGGGAAGGCGCCTGGGAAACTTGAGAGGTGAGAATTTCACAAACTGTCTGGCCTGCAGCTGTGGCCTCTGATCACAGGGAAGCAGACGTGCTGGGGGAGGGGCAGGGTCGTGCAACACAGGGGCTGTGGGCACAAGGACAGGCAGCCTCCCTGGTAGAGTCAAACACACTTTATTCAGCATAGGAATATGTGAACAGAAGGGCCTTGGGCAGGGTTCCTAAGAGCTCTGCTTCAAACCCTGCTGTAAACAGAGCAAAGGTGACATGTAAACCACGGGGCCCAGAGGGGAGGGGGCTCAACACAGGGCCACACTGGCCAGCGCACGGGGAAGCTCTGGTGGCCCATGCCCAGGAGAGGCTCTAAGTGACTCACTCAGAAAAGCCTGGGTGGGAGGAGCACAGGGCCCCGGCCAACTCAGGGGATTATCTCCACCACTGGGGGCCCAGGGTTCAATTTAGCTGAAGCAGCCCGGGCTGCTGTGTCAACACATGATTAAAGGCCCTGAAAGCCATAGCCCAGCATGGGGGTGACAGGAGAGGTGGTCCCTCGGGGGGTGCTCCCCATCCGCCCACAGGGTAAGGCCCTGTAGCTCTCACAAGCAGCGCACTGCAGCCCTGGTCCAGCATCCCACTGACAAACTGTAAATGGCCCCCGACCTTCACTGCCCAGGACCAGGACCGCACTCCCTTGACCGGGGTCCCCAGTGGAAGTGCAGAGGGACACTGGAGGGCAGAGAAGGCAGGTCTGCCGGCAGAACCACCCTGGATGACTATGGTCCTGCCCTAGAGACTCATGATTAGGGGTAGGGGAATGTCTTGGGGACTGCGCCAGGAAACAGCACCAGTTCGAAGACTCTGCTCAGAGGGCAGGGCCTGCCTCCGCCTGAGAAGCATCCCGCCAGAGGAGACAGCCAGGACCTCTGCGCAGAGACCCAGCTGTGCTGTTGTGCCGGGTACACAGCGGGTGGGGAGAAGGAGGGGATTCTGGGAGGGAGGAAAGGGCAAAGATTAGGGAGGTGGTGTGCGGTCCCCTGGGACCCTTGGGAGTGACAGGGAGAAGCCACGCACAGTGGCACAGTCGGGTCCAGCTGAATTCCTGATTAACAACTGCTCTGAAGACCAGAGGGGATGGGCGGAGGACAGAAACACCACCTCCTGGACCCTCCCTGCTAACACAAGAGTGGGGTGTGTTAAAGGGCACCCCTGCCCCCAACCAGTAACTAGAGTGGCAGGAAGAGGGGGCTCCAAGTCCTGGTGTATATGGTGACGGCGCTCCTTCCGTGGGCTTTGGGCTCAAATGTAAAATGCACAACTTGTTCATCACCAGGGGACAGAGAAGGGGCTGTCTCTGGCTGGACGGAGGCTGGGAGGGCAAGGCCAGTGCCCAGTGGGTATGAGTGACAGCCAGAGCCCGGCTTCTCTCTAGAAAATCACTACACTACACATGAAGTTGGCGGTGGCGGAGGACCCAGGGAGGGACGGATCTATCTAAATGACTCACAGGTGGCTGGGGGAGGGGTGGCGGGGATGACACAAACACACCGATACCCAGAGAACAGAGCCAAGAGGCAAGAGGAACGCAGCTAACCACTGCGGAGGGAGTGGGGTGGGCAGCCTGCCGGCACACAGCCCCACGACAGGCTCACTCGTCAAACTTCCCTTCCCGAATGTGCTCGAAGGAGAAGGGTAGGAACTTGAAACCGGTTCCGCTGTAGAATTTATTCTGGAACTCGACCCTGGGGAAAGGGAAAAGGAAAGCCATCATTCCACAGAATCCTTTTGGGGTTTCCCAGGGGCTAAAAGGATGCTCTGACCCTCCTCCTGGAGACCTCATTTTCCTAGCTGAGCCTGGACAAACAGCTCAGCCTTCTGCCACCCACCTGCCCACCCACCCACCAAGCCCAGGCCTTAGCCTACTTCCCACAGTGCACACAAGCCCTGCTTCTGAAGCCGGGGCCTGCCCTCGGCCAGGCACTCTGGCAAGGCAGGAGTGAGTGCCGCGTACCTCCTCACTGGTTTGTCCTTCCTGCTCCTTCCTGCTAAGCCGAGTGTGTTTACGCAAAACTCTTTGTCTAGCCATGTGTAAAAGTGCCCCTGCTTTGAGGCTCTTGAGGGCAATGAGACTAGACACCAGCTCCTGGCCAGGGCTCAGGGGCTCACGGCCGACCTCTCAGGGAAGCCCCTGGGTGGCAGAGCTCAGCGCCAGGGACTCGGGCAAGTGCCCTTGTTTGTTTCTTTTCTTGCAGGAGGAAGGAGAAGGGAGGGTTGTGAGTGAAGGCTGGAGGCTTTGGGGAGGAAATTCCCAGGAGTTGCGGGGGTGGGGTGGGGGGATGAGGAGTCTTCTCCAAGTAATGGCAAAAATATTCTCCAACGACAAAAACATCTGAGAACGAATTCTTCTCTCAGGGGCTGAAAGGAAAAGCAGAGCTTCACCTCCTTTCCCAGGGAGCCCAGCAGCCATGGCTGAGCGCCTCCCTGGGGCCCTCTCCAACTCTGAGGGGCAGGAAGCCGGCCCTCCTGGAAGCAGAGCCAGGCTGCAGGCCGCGAGCTTCCCCCTGCACACTTCCTGGAGGGCTGCCCAGCAACCAAATCACCACCAAATATGGGCAGAAAAATGCATGAATCAGAGGATAAAAAAGCCAAGGAGAGCTGCCCTGAGGAATAGTTTCCACTCAGCTGTGTGACCCTGGGGGCATCAGCAGAAGCCCTGCAAAGGACAGAGGGGCTGGGGGCTGGAGGCTGGGACCTAGGGCGAGACTCCGTCCTGCCTCCAAGCCCAGAGGCTGCACAGGAAGGACTGTGTGCATCAGGGACGGTCTGATAGTGGCCTTCAGAGGTCCTCAGAGGCCCCTCCAGCCCTGCAGTGCTGGCTGCAACCCCTGGGGAGAAGAGGTGAACAGAATTTTCTACGGGGGCATTAAGAACAGGTGGCCTTCTCCTCCCAGCCCCACATTCCAGGGGCTGAGCCCAAATCCCAAAGCCTCCCAGACTCTGGAGGGTTCCCTGGGCCAAGGGAAAATAGGACCTGGGGGAGGGGGCTTCACACTGAAGTCACAGGATTCCTGGCCAGAGCAATTTCAAACCGGGATCTGGATTTGTCCCCCTGTCCCAATGCCCTGAGACGTCCTAGAAGCTACAGCCATTCAGGCCTCCACTGGGGTCATTAGGTAGGGCTGGGGTAGGCTCCTGCTTTTCACCCTCTGCCGTCAGGTCTGCATGCTTCACGCCAAGCAGGCTGTCTGCACATGGCAAGGGCATTTCTGAACAACTGGGAAGAGATCGACATATCCCATCTGCATTCAACATGTCCGAGATGGCAGCCAAGTCCCCTTAGGGTCTACGAGGGGCGCAGAACTCTGACCCCCTGGCGGGCTAATCACACAAACAATTCAAATTCCAAACTGGACGAATGGAATAGGAGCTTCAGGAATTGTTCCGATGCCCGTGGGATCGCCATCCTTCTGGCATTCCTCTGTGTGCCTTACCTACCCAGAGGGCCCGGCGGGAAGGAAGGGCTCCAGCGGTCTGGGATGCAGGTGGATGACTTCTGCTGTGTGAGCGCACGGGTGGTCCCTCTGACAAACGGCCCGATACTCCCTCTACCTCGAGCCACTGCCTGTGGTTAGAGGGTTCAGGTGGCCACCACCACAGACACCCTGGGGCATCTCGGGGTCTGCCTGACTTCCCATCCCTTCTCAGCCTCACTTACTCCAACCTCCCAGAACAAAGCTGGAAAGCAATCTCCCTATCGGGCTCCCCACCCTTTTTTCCCTCCCAGTCAGGAAAATGAGTGTTTCCTGAGAAAGTACAAACATCAAGTTCTTTGCGTAGGGGCCTAGAGTGCCCTGCTCACAGCCCTGCAAGTTCCTCTTATTTTAGGAGCCTGCTACACTACTCAGGTAGCCTCCAGGGCCCTGCCATGGCCCAAGCCACCTCTAGAATTCCACAGTTGTGAGGAGGCCCAGCCTCAGGAAGTCAGACGGGTTCCTCAGACACCCCTTCCCTCCCTGCTGCGGTACCTGGCAGAGGCCACCCCGTGACCCGAAGGGTAAGGGGGAGTTCACGGAGCGCTCGGCACTGCTATGTAACAGGAAACCTCGTTTCCTTGAGTGAAGGAAGGGGAAAGGAGTCCTGGGTCTCCTCCCTTTCCTGGCAGGCATGTGAGTGGAAAGAGGCAGTTTTAGAAAGATGATCTGGGGCTGAGCTACTTCTCAGGCCCCTTCTGCCACTCTCTGAGCAGCCCAGGGCCTGGAGCACAAATCTGTCTGATGGCCCCCATGCCAGCCAGGGCAATGATGGCAGCCAGGAACTACACTCCAGGTGTACTCACTTTCAGGCCAGCTGTTCCTGCAACCGCCCCGTGGTGTCCTGTGCACGCCACTTCACTCTTTATGACAGCCTGGTCCCCACCTTCCTTTGCCCTTCAACAAATCTGTGAGTGCACACGTGTGCACATTGACACATGTGTAGAGCTGCTCAGTAAGAAGGGATTTGGTTCCTGAAAGTGGGCCAGGAGGCGGCAGTCTTTCTACGGAAGTCAGTTTGGTGTCCACAAACTGACAAATCCTATCCCTGCCTTTGCCTTTCCTGCGCAAGGAAAGACATCTATGACAGGAGGCAAACGAGAGAAACATGTAACTCAGAAGGACACGAGATGAACAGGCTGGGACAGTAACCTGTTCACTCTTGTTTTCAAATATATCACCCACCTCCTTAGGACCCTACATGAATCTCACACTAGTGGTATATGACGTTGTTGTTCTTGTCCCCACTGAAGACATCCAGAGCTTTTGTAAGGGGGCAGCCCTTGCATAGGATCAGGAAACCCCAGCTGACAGCCAAGGATAAAGTGAGTTATGAGGACGTCCAGGCTCGACCCCAGGAAAAATACAGCAATGTCAAGCACCCATTTTCAGCAGGACCCGCTGTCCCCAGCCTCACAAGAGGGCCACAACTCAGAATTCCTGCATCCCAGTGGTGGTGGGAACCAGGACTAGAAGGCCCCAAATCCCTGCCTCACATCCACATCTGGCCAGGAGGGGGAGCACGAGCACCCGTTTCATTCACCCCCTTTCGGTCAGGGCGATGTTCCAAACAGGCCTCCAACAACAGGATTCTGAAAGCTGGACAAAGGAGTTTCATGTTTCTCTTCTCTGAGATACCTCCGCAACCCACAAGGTTGTCTGATGAGCCTGTGCCTCTCTTGGGGGGGGGTCTCCCCTCTTGAAACACTAAAAGCAGTTTCTTTGCGAGGGACTGGCACCAAGATGCCCTCTCCTTAGGGCAGCCCACTTCTAAGCGATCTGCACTCGAACGTCAGTTTCTGATGAGCCGGGCCACTGCGACAGGCACCTCGTGTGCACATTATTTCCTATTTATCACAGTGACCATGTTATACGGATACCATCCTCTCCCCACCTGAGAATGAGGTCCAGAAAGGTAAGTGCTCTCCTCAGGGTCACGCAGCCAGTGACAGCAGAGCTGGAATTTGAACCCAGGTGGGCCTAATTTGAAGCCTGCTCTCTTGTCACTCATCAGGTCCTTGGGCTTACTCATGGGGCCGTGGGAAGACACCTTCACTTGAAGGCCACAGGTAAGCCCGAGGGAGAAATAATCCTTCTGGCCACAATAGAACATGGCCTCCCAAGCGGCCTCTGCTCACTCTGGAGATTAGGCCCAGGCTCAGGTGATGACAGTGTGCTTGGCTCACTGCTCTGACGGTTCTGATCCAGCACCATGACTGCTCCCGCCCGCCCAAGGGAGGAGGTGACAGGCTCCCCTCTTGGGCTGGAATTCAGGTGGGGTGGCAACTTGGTCCCTCAAGCCCAGGGCTCAGGAGACAGAGAAGGGACGAGGAAAGGAAGGAAGAGACAGTGAGTCACCACAGGCTGGCTACAAGGACATTCCCTCATACTGAGCGGCTGAGGAAGTGTGCTGGGGAGAGAGCGTGCTGATAAGCTGAGAACAGGGCAGCGGGCCAGCAGTCTGAGCCACACAGCACCCCTAACCTCCTGGCTGGACAGTAAATAAACAACAGCTGGGTGGAGAGGAGGGCAGCAAGGAGGAGGAAAGCCAGCCAGAGGACGGGTTATTTTAAAAGAGCTTTTGAGGGAAGAGCAAGTCCCAGTTATGCCCCGCTCTGCCATGCCTCACATTCCCCTGTCATTTAGAACAGCAAACAGAGGAATCTTGGAGGGGGCTCGGCATAACCAAGTCAGGAGGAAACCAAAGATAAGGGGAATGGGGAAGAGGATCCTTGGGTTCAGGGTTAGAAAACTGATGTCATGAGACATTCCATACACCCTCTGATCTTGAGATCATTGGCATCATAGGCCCTCTCGTCTAGGAGTTCCTACGGTTAGGGTCCCTGAGTTTGTGACCCCATAAACGGGTAAGACTGCTGGTGGGGGTGTTTCTCTAGGGACAGGGCCCAGAGCTTCCACAGCCATTGGGGTTTGAGACGCAAAAAGAGAGGGAGAATCATAACATAAAGGATGAAGTAGAGACTCAAAAGAGGGCAAGCTTGGGGTAGGGAAACCAGATGAAGTACAGGATGCCTAGTGTTTAGTATGAGTATATCCCATGTACATTTGGGAAATACTTATACTACAAAAAACCCCCCAAAAACCATTGTTTATCTGAAATTCAAATTTCACTGGGTGTCCTGTAATTGTATTTGCCAAACCTGGTAACCCTACCTTGAGGTCACAGGGTCACTGTCTGGACCAGACTCCACCTCTCCCACTCCCTGGGACTGAGCTAGCTCTCTCCAGACAGAGCCATTAAAAGCCACCAACTACTTTAAGGAAAACAAACAAATCCAAACCTGCCCTTCTGAAGAAGCTGCTTCAGGGTGCTGAGCTACACAAGGTGGAAGCAGGAACCCCCCCTACCCACATGGGGCTGCCAGGGCTCCTACGCAAAGACACTGGCACAGTGACAGAACGAGGGGGACAAAACTGGGGTACAGTGTGCTCTAGCACCTTCCCGGACTGCAAATCTATTCCAGAGTTGCTTCCATTGCTCTGAAGACAGGAGAAAGTTTTTGCCAGAGCAACAAAACAAAACAAAAACCAAACAAACCAACAACCTCAGCAGGGCTTTTAAGCCATAATTAAGAGCAGGGAAGAAAGCTAAAGGCAGGGAGAGGGAATCTGACAACACCCACCAGAGAATTCTCCGTTGGAGGCTCTGAAAAGTGAGCTGTGCTTTTCTGTGGACATTTCCTGATGCTCACTCCTAATGTAGGTCCTTGGGTATAATGATGTGAACGAAAGACACTTGATAGTGTCTCTGGATTCTGTACCAGAGTAAAGCTGCCCTCCGTGCAGCTAAGGACACATCCCAGCCCCCCGAACTCGCTGCCGCTCACCAGTGTAATCGCAGTGCATGGAGGAAGGCCGAGAGGCCCTCCATGATCAGGAGGATGGCCACGGTCAGGGTGGCAAAGGCAGCGAAAATGAAGAACAGCGCCAGACCTCCCGCCAAGCTCTTCACGCTGAGGCCGATGTGGATCACCATGGTCCAAAGCACCTCAGACAGCTCTGGGGAATGCAGAGAGACAGGACATCTGGTTCAGCGTGGCAAGAGGTGCCGTGGGCCTACCACTTTGCTCTGCCGTCCCTCACCTGAAGTGTTTGCCGCAACCTGGCTTCCTACAGGGACTCCCGTGCATAGCTCAGGTGGCAAAGTGCTCGTCCTCCCGTTTGGGCGTCTTTCTCCCGGGATTCAGGAGTCTGAGTAGTTCCAGACCTCTATGTTATTTCCACTCTACTTAAGCCCCACATCGGGGAGAGTGCCCAGAGAAGGGGAAACCTGTAATTTCCCACCAGAGAGAAATACACTCACGTGCATGTGCCAGGCTGAGGGCCCAGAGCCGCAGGTAGGAGGCCGTGTTTGAGATGCAGCCCAGGCAGTACTCGATGGTGTGGATGGCCTGGTGGACCATGGTGTCCCCAAAGTCAAACTGTCATGGGAGGAAACCAGAGAGAAGACAGAAGGCTGGGAGGCGATGTGCAGATGGGGCTGTGGCCACTTGGTGCTTGGGGCCCAGGCCTGAGCACCAGCACTGATGGCTATCCGGACCAGGAAGCCCCCAGTGTTGACCTCAGGTGGTGATTCAGCTACGTTATCCCCAGAAATCCTGCCTGGCTTAGCCCCCAACTGGGACACCCCATTTCCCTTGACAGACTACATTTTAATGACCTCCATCTTAACGAGATGACTCTCAACACATTTTTTTCCTCTCACTAGGCTCTAAGCTCGAGAGAGGAACGTATGCCGAGTTAAGAGCACTCAGAGAAATGGGCTGTCTGGACGCGGGACTCGGGCCCTGCTGCTGGGCCTCCTCCAGCTGACCTCCTCCCTCCTCCTTCCTCCGAGTCCTGAGAGCAGAGGGCTTTTCCCGGGCGGCCATGCTTCAGGTGACGGGCTCGCAGGCCAGAAGCTGCCAAGGCAAGACTAAGCCTCTACAGTCACTTCACTTATTATTCTTATGGCCTGTTGGGAGCAAGATAACCTCCTTTTTCTTTTGTGGCTTCTGAGAAGATGACACATGGAAATTCTGACAGAAGTTTCCCTGAATCCTCCAGTTGACTGAGACCACATGGAACATCTATTGTTTTTTGTTTCTGTTTTTCTCAGGCTCCCTTTCTCCCAGCTTTCCTTCCCACATCAAATACTGTTTTGAGAATAAAGGGGTAGAGCTAGAACAAGCCTGCAGGAGTTCACATGCAGCCCGCTCCAAGAGCGGCTAGGGAATAATTACTGGCATGCACTGGAGGGGAGCCAGGCATCCTTCCAGGGCCCCAACTCCCACCCCGGGTGGGGCAATCACAGCCACCAAAAACAGGAGGTGGGCCCTTCCCGGGCTCCTCCCACACAGCCCCCACAGAAACCCAGAAGCACAGGGCCTCCCTGCCTGCCCTGCCTTCAGGTCAGAGTCTGTTTTTCACCAGTTTCTTTCAAGACTCACATGACTCCACTCCCAAAGGACACAAGAAATGTCCTGGGAAATTGCAGGAGGGCAGGACAAGAGAAGGAGCTGGCTGGTAAAGTGCTAACAGCCCAGGCCTCTGGGGTGCGGCCAGGAGGGAGGGGGCCCAGCTCCAACACAACATCTCTGGGCAACTGCCTCAGTTTCCCTCACCTGACCATCTACACTTGGAGTATTTTTGGGCTTTTCTTCTGTAACAGGCTCTTCAGGCCTCCTAAAGAGGCCTGTTACCCTAAAAACTAGGGAAATCTTCATTACCCCAATCCCAAGAACACTGCTAAGAGCTCTTTCCCACCACTGCTGGCTGTCACCCCAGAGCCTGTAGAGGCAGGAACAGTCCTGGCTCCCAGGAGCACTGCTCCTAAGAGCTCCATGAAAGCACGGTCTGCTGGGTTTCCTGTAGAACTGGGCCCTTTTCAGTTTTATTCTACCCAGAGTTCCTCCCAGAAGAATGGAGAACACAGAGGGAGCCTCCCTTCCGGGTGTTACCACACTCTCTGTACTTTCTTTCTTAACTTCTTGCTTTGTAACCGTGGGCAAGTTTTCATCACTATATAATGGAGAAAGTGGGTGAGGATTTAGCGTGAAATGCAGCCCAGCACTTAGGAGCCTATCACTGCCTCAGGAGTCAGCTGTGACTGAGAAGGACCGCTACGGACTCCCGTCTACACTCTCCTCCGGGTGTGCGGCCTGTCCCCTCCTCACCTCCTGGGCCCTGCCCTCCACCCGCTCCACCCTCTCCACCCGACAGACCCTACCTTCCCAGGACCCACTCCCTTGCCTCCCAGGTGTGAGGTCTAACACATTCTGTGTCCTGACTGAGCCCCTGCAGTGTCTCTCACTGTTGCCTTTTCCTCCTTGCTCTGGAGACGCTCCCCTGCCCTCAGTTTTCCTCCTACCTCCCTGGATGCTCCTTCCCAGTCTCCATCTTGATTCTTCCTTAAATGTCGGAGGTCCAGCCTCAGCTCTCACACTTCTCTTGCAGCGTGGCCGCTCAGTCTTGGACGGCCACCCGTAGGAGTGACTCCCCGATGGACACCTTCATTTCCGCTTTCCCTGTTCCCAACGGGCCATGCTACATCCCTTCCCAGTGCACCAGAGGCACTTCAAACTCCATGCCCCCACACTCATTCATTGCTCTCCTCTGACCCCACCAGGACCTGTTCCTACTCTAGGTCCCATGTCTAACAGTGTCATCACTAGGGCCCCAGGCATCCGAGCCTGGAAGTCAATCTGGAATCCTCACTCACTCTCACCGCCTACATTCACTGAAGTCCTGGGACCCGTAGCTCTAACTTCCTTGATCTCCTTAGCTGTCCCTTCCTTTCCAACTCCTCTGCAACTCACTTCAGGCCTCCTGATTCTTTCATGACTAGTATCAAACTAGCTGGTCTCCATGCCTCCACACTGTGACCCCTCCCCAATCCAATATCCCCTAGAACACACCCACTAGAGCATTTCAGCAATGCACACAGGCTGTGACACTTGCAGCTGCCCCTGCCTTCTGATCGCTCCTTACTATTCAAACACTTGGTACCAAGGTGAGTTTCTGCAGCTTCCAGGCGCCCCTCTCACTGGTCTCCAATTCCTGCCCCTGAGCTCCAGCCAAGCCGTGTGCCTGTTTATCCCCAACACGTGATGGGCCCACATGCCTGTGTCTTTCAGATAACTATACACACTGATGGGTCTGCCTTCTCACCCAGCCCCCACAAAGACTCCTGCTTGACCGGACTAAGTTAGCAACAATCTCTGTAGGGAATCACTTCCTGGTCACCTCTTCTCCACCCCAACCCCAGTGCCTGTCAGGTGCCCTCTTTCTGTGTTCCCACAGCATCCTGGGCACATCTTAATCACGCCATCTGTCACCCAGGCTGTTTCTTCAGTTTGGCTGGGAGTTCCTTGAAGGTAACGGCTATGTTTGTCTTCTTGCAGTTTCTGTAGCACCACAGTGCTTGGCACACAGAGGGTGAATGAATGAATGGGTGGGATAAAAGAATTAATGGATGGATGGGTGGGTGGGATGAATGAACAGATGGATGGATGGGTGGGTGGGTGGGATGGACAGATGGAGGATGGGTGGGTGGGCAGGGCAGATGGATGCATGAGACAAATGAATGGGTGGGATGGACAGATGGGTAAGTGGGATGACTGGATGGATGGATACGTGAGTGGGATGAAAAAAACACATGGACGGATGGAATGAGTACAAGGCTGGGTGTGTGGGATGACCACACCTGGTGAGATGACAGTAGGGAGAGGTGCCACTGACCCTTGCTGAATGGTTACAGCCTTTCAAGACTTCCCAGACGATCAGCTGGCCTGGCCCTGGTTCGCAACAGGACTGAGTGCTTCCCAGGGAGAGGAACTACAGCTTCACCCAGGCTGGAATAATGCCTACATGGGGCAAATGGGTTTTCACAGCCAAGCAAAAAGGGGAAGTTCTAGAAGAATTAGGCTGAACTTAAAAAAAAAAAAAAAAGATTTTGTTTGGAATCTTTAGATAATTTTAATAGTTCATCTAAATCTGGCTGTGGAGCACTACACCGTACATGTGCCTGATAAAGATAAAATGTCATCATTGTTTAGGAAGCCACGGGAAGCTGAACCCTTGAGGGAGCTGAGGGGCCAGAGACTAGGGAGGCTGAATTACAGTCCATCTTCTGTGGACATCCAAAGCCCCTGGGACATGGCTCACTAATGCGAACCATTCTGATGATGACCATGCATTGAGTGCTCTACTAGAAGACACTTAGAAAGAGCAGTGTTGTTGGAGGCTGTGTTACTGGGAGAGGCCTGGGCTCCTCACTAACACGGAACACACTCCCAGCCAGCCCTTCCAAGCAGTTCGACCAGTGACTACATGCAGGTGAGCAGCTCACAGGAACACAGGGGCTCCTGGATGCCAGTGAGTGAGCCTCTCCAGCCTTCAGGAAGACCGATCACGGTCTGGTTTTACACAGAACAGCCCATCCCACTTCTCTTTTAGAGAGGACTAGGAGAGCCAGGAGAGGGAAGGTTCATGGGTCTATGTATTTTAGAGAAAAGTTTTGGGGGAAGATGCAAACAGTGCAGCAAGGCCTTTAAAAATAAAAAAATCAATTTAAAATTTGTGTATTGCTAAATGAATTACTGCTAAGCTAGAAGGCCTTCTACTCCAAATGTGGCCTGAATAGCCAACTTTGTTTCTATTACCTGGTATAATATGAACTCCTTTCATGCAAATGGGATTGTTTTTTTTCTGGGATACACTGGAGAGACAAAGCCTCCTTTTTGAAAGCTTTCTACCTCCCATCTGGGTCACAGGGAGGTAGAGTGGACCCCAAGTGAAGGTCCAGCAATTCTCACTTCAAGCACCATCAAGCTGATGAGGACAGGAGGAAGAGACTGGCTGTATCTCAGACAGGGAGGAAGGGTAAGCTTTACTCACAAGCTCTCAGAGAGCAAGGAGGAAACAGCTACTCCCAGCGGCAGAGCGACCGACCGTATCATACATAACACCACAGGAGAGGAAGGCAAAGACCAATGGGATTTAACCCCCAAGGGGGGTCACTTCAAGAATGCCAAAGCAGACATTACTTGCAGCTCCTTTCAAAGCCATTCTCAGAGGGATTAGATCAGCAAAGTCAATGAAACAAAGACAGAGGTGACCGACATGAGATGCAGTTAATGGAGATGAGCTTTTTCAGAACACAGGTTCACGCACTGGTTAGACATGGCCCGTGAGATGCAGGATGCGCGGGTGTCGTGTGTGGCCCCCGGCTGCAGCAGGGTCAGCAGAGTGATCACAAGGATGGGAAGAGAAGCCCCAGATAAACATGAAGGCAAAGTCAGCTTGTTTCTTACCACTTCATCCTCGGTAGGCTTGTAAATACAAATTTACACTTAGTGGGAAGCCATGCCACACATGGTCACAAGTCACGAGCACAAGGTTACGGACTGTTTCCCGGGGAAACTGTGGATGTTAAATGGGCCTAATGCGTTGGAGGCAGGCCTCCTCAGCACACGCAGAAAGCAAACCCAGCACGATTTACAGCATTAAAATATGCATATCTTTTAAAGGCACCCCAATCCTTACAATTTCTTTTAAAAATGTCATACGCATAGGGGAAGCGGTCAGTCAGACTGAGAAGTTTAGTCACCCGGGTCCCCAATTCCTATTCTATTTGCTTCAAAAAGCATATAATGCAAAAAAAAAAAAAAAAAAAAAAAGAGAGAGAGAGAGAGACAATATAATGAACAGATGACATTCAAAAGTTCAGTTCAGAGGCTTTGTAGTGTGAGTGTCAGGCAAGGAGACTGGATTTTAAAAAACAGCCTGGGGGTGGTGGTTTAAGGAAAAGTCTAATTTGGCTTTACCACTTTTCACTCTCGCTGTAAAAGGTCGGCAAATAACATTTTTTAAAAGCAGCTCAGATAATATATTTGTAGTAAGAGCGCATTAGTTGGGGCGCCTGGGTGGCTCAGTGGGTTGGGCCTCTGCCTTCAACTCGGGTCGTGATCTTGAGGTCCTGGGATCGTGCCCCGCATCAGGCTCTCTGCTCAGCGGGGAGCCTGCTTCCCCCCCCTCCCTCTGCCTACTTGTGAACTCTCTCTCTCTGTCAAATAAATAAATAAAATCTTGGGGGAAAAAAAAAAAAAAGAGCCCACTAGTGGGACAAGACTTAAAAAATACCCGTGGTTACAGTTCCAACTGGAAGCATTCCTGAAAGGGGAAAGGGAGGAAGAAGCTGCCCTAAGGGGGCTGTGTTTCTGGTAACAAGAGTGGGGAAGCCTGGGCCTCTTCTGCCCTCGGTCCCCAGGAGCACAGTCAGTCACTGAGATCGGCATGCAGAGTACCGCGGGCAACTCAGAATTCAATGAGCTCAGACAAGCGACCACAACTGCCGCGGGTACTGGAGGGGCCGCCGGGAGCTGGAAAAAGCTGTGTTGCCCGAAGAGGCCCGGAAGGCAGGCTGATCACTAATATGAGCATTTTCATTTTTCAAGAAGACCAGAGGGAGGCCGCTTCCGCACGTCAGACGAGGGCTGGCCCACAGGAGAAGGAGAGGACGCCCACGCCACTGGATCTTACCTCTTCTGCGTCCTCTGAATGGGTGGAGAGCTGGTCATGCTGAATAATCTCAGCATCCTCCTCTGTCGGTCCGTTGCCCACCCTGATCCCACCAAAGTTGAGAGTTCCCTACACAGACGAACAGAAAGAGTAGAATTTGCCTGGGCTTTAATGTGACATTCTGTGAGGCGGGGAAGGGCGGTGGTTAGTACATACAAACCTCAGAAAAGCATATATGCTAGCAACAAAATCACACCCCGCTGATCCAACAGCTGAACTAAGAACAAGCCACTGTCCCCGCCCCAACCACCACCGGCCCGGCCCCAGCCCCAGCCCCAGCCCCAGCCGCATTTACCACCTCACTCTGATCACTTCTGCCTGCTGCACCAGGATGCACTAACCTGGCCTCGGTCAAGGCCAGCTGAGAGGTCTGCTCGAGGGAAAAGCTTCATATGAGCAGACTCTTATAAGGACTGTAGCTCTATCTATAAAGTTGTCAGGGGTCTAAGTTTTTCTAGGACTAGAGATCAGACTTTCTAGGCGGGAGGGGAGCCAAATGACATGGTGACTATAACCTGGTTGGATAAGCTTTCAGCTGGAACCTAAGAGTTCCAGCAACCTCTCCCAGAAGCGGACCAGGTCTCTGCCCAGGAACAAAGGACTTCCTAGGATCAGGGAAGGGACAAAAGCTTAATGTACATCAGCTTGTGGCTAGAGAATACGGAGTTTAAAAAAAAAAAAAAAGAAAGAAAGAAAGAAAAAAGAACAAGGAAAAGACTCCTTTCCTTCAGTGGAGGACTCTGGAATGTTCCAACAATCTTGGGAGGCATGTGGCAGATGCAGACTGAGTGTTTGCCTCTACCCGTTTTCCAGTCATTTGTGTTCAGCGGGCTCCCAGAAGCAGAATTTCTAAGTCAACCTGACTTGAAAGGCTTGGGTTTGCTGAGGCAAAAGGACTCTTTGAGTGCAAAAACCAGGCAGAACTGGAGTGAAATCAGACAAACAGCAATGAGAGCTAACCTGCCAGAGGGAAAAGGAGCTAAAGAGCCAGCCCTTAGACCCACTGCTTATGGTTTCTCATCAGGGAGCCCAAAGGAGGCAAGAGTTTAAAAATTGCTCTCCAGCAAAATGGCCTTCTGGGTAGCAGCACGACGTGCCAACTGCCCTGGGGTCCCCACTCATGGCTCCACCATCTGGTGTGCCCTTTTTACCACAGCTTATGGACTACTAGAACTCAGTGTCTGGGCAAAGTCTCTCTCTACTTGTAGCACAGGTTCTCCCATGCTGGTGAGAGAGCCAGCTGCATCAGAATCACCTTGAAATTAGAGATTCTCAAATGCTACCTCCAGAAATTGTACGTTTAGTAGGTCTGGAGTGGGGCCTAGGAAATCTATGTTTAAAAAAATATCCCCCAAGTGCAAACTGTATAATCATTTTTACTGTCTGTCAAAATTGAAAATGTAAGCACACACACACACACACACACACACACACACACACACACAAATGTAAGTACCCTTTGAGACCCAGCAGTCCTGCTGCTGGGAACATCTGTGTTTATGAAATTTTATCAAGGTACACGGACAACGATGTTCCCTGCATTCTTATTTGTAATAGCAAAGAATTGGGAACAACCAACACATCCATCAACAAGAGAGTGATTACACAATTTTATCATATCCAACAGAATGTTCTATGGAATACCAGACAACTATAAAAGAGTGAAACAATCTCCCAGGATACACTAAAAACTTTAAAACCTAAAACTGTGGCAGAAGAGTGCCACAGTTTAAAACACAATTCCTAGTATGTTTTAAACACATACATATATACATGTACAAACATATATACAGATTTATATTAATGGATAATAGAAATATGCAGAAAAAATTTGGAAGCAAAACTCCCCTGCCTTTGAGCAGAGGGGTCTGGGAAGAGGGGGACTTTCTCTTTCTGTACTATTTGCATTCTCTAAACTATTGCTTTAATTTTACTTTTTAGTGTTTTGGTTTTAGTCGGGCTTTAGTAGCCCCAACGTGGGGCTTGAACTCAAAACCCTGAGATTAAAACCTGAGCTGAGATCAAGAGCCAGACGCTTAATCTACTGAGCCACCCAGGTGCCCCCTAATTTTACTTTTTAATATCAATAGGGGATTGTCTAGGTCATGGAATCAGGAACCATCTTTATTACTTCTTTTGTTTTAATACCCTAAGAAACAAATAAATTTAAAGTTTACCAGGTGATTCTGATGTGTAGTCAGATTCAGGAAGCCCTAAGACCCTGGGCACCTCCAGGTCACGCACCTTATACCCGACAACCCTCAGCAGGTGGACTGTGGACAGGAGAGGACCCCAGAGTACCCTGACAAGGGTTACAGGGTCCAGGCAGCCTTAAGGCTTTAAGGCTCCCAAAACAGAAGGTCATTTCTGAAGCTTTCCCCAACCAGCAGACAGAGTGAGGGGCAGACAGGTAAACCATCTCCCCAGGCAGACACCAACAAGTGTCTCTTCAGGACACAGGACATGAGAGTTCTAGGAAGAGGGGATGAGACATATACATCAGCAAAAAAAAGAAAAGAAAAAAGTAAACTGTGACACACTGCTTACAGACAACCAAGAGGACACAGAACAGAAGAAACACAGATCAATGATCGTATCCTCAGCCCTTAGGGTCAAGAATCCAGGGTCCTTGTTGTAAAATGACCGTCCTGATGCCTTCAGGCTGCTCTCTAGAGCCAGATATTTTGCTAAAGAACCAGTGAGGTGAAGAAGACCCCATGAATGTGCAGCTTTCCAGACTGGGGACATTTAATTTGGAGAGTGTCACAGAAAGGGGATACCAGAGTTAAGAGCATCAAGACAGATGCCTCAGAAGCACATCATTAATATGCTAAGACTAGCAAAAATAAGAGCATTGGGAAAGAATGTTGATAAATGGATAGTATGTGCTTTGTGGGCTTTTAAAAAAAAATTCTCATAGGAAAGGAGAGAATAAGTCTCTCTTTGAACATAATTTCAAGCAGCAACATTAAATGATCTTCTGGTCCAAAATGTCAGCGCTTTTAGACTCGTTCTAGAAGGATGATTATGGCAGGTATCTAAGTTTAAAATGATCCGAAACACCTAATGAAGGAAATGGTTCTCCATCTAAATATTTCATTTTCTTTTAAAGGAGTATGATGTCTGTCACTAGATCACACCAGCAACATGTGTGATCCCTGCTGGTCAGATTTTAAAAATCTTACCAATTACCTGGAATTGACTGGGCTAAGTTGGTCTCAGTGCATTAAAAGAGTTTGTTAAGAGATATCGTTAAGGACAAATATTGAAATGATTAACATTTGAAGTGCGGTTGCTGAATTATGAGTTGATATTTAAAGAAGGAAAGATCCAGACAGATGACTTTGCTTACTGCATCAGATGCAGAGGGCATAGAGACCCACGCAGACTGGAGGTCTCTGGAGGAGCTGAGGACAGGAGGGCTTCTGAGTCTCTCACAAAAGAGCAGACATGTATAAGGTCCCACTGGCAGGAGAGAAAGTCATAGCTAAAATGGACCAAATGTCCACGCATCCCTCCAAACCAGAAGTTTAAAGAGCAGGGAAATTAATTCAAGAATCACAGGAATGATCTTGCTCCATGCTGAAAAATCATCTAATACATGGTTACAAAAGACAGACATGAAAGTGGATGAGTCCAAGAGCTGTCATCTTGGATTAAGATGATGGGATTCTGAGAGGGTACAAAAGTCACTTTGCTTCCATAGATATGACTGTACTTACGGTTTTTAATAGAAACTTAACTTAGTAGACCAACGGTAAAGATGATATTAGAATCTATTCATAAGAGGTGGATATCTTTTCTGTCATCATCTCAATGAGTAACAAGGACGTACTTCCCAAGAGCACACATGTCCCATGCTCTCAACGTAACTGAAAAGAATTCTGCTGCACTGTTTGCCACCTCTTTACACAAAATGTGATGGTTTGTCAGTTTTAATTCACTCACTGTTGCAGCCGCTGCTGCCTCTAGTCCCTGCTGGCTCGGGGTTGGGCTGACTGGGGCCTCCACAGGCTGCCCTTCCTGATAGTGAATGGAAGAGAAGAGGAAGGGGGAAAGAAAAAAAAGAGGGAGGGAGTGAGGGGGGAGACGAATGGAGGGTACATGGAAGGATGAAGATGGTCAGAAAAGGGAGAAGGAGGGTCTTGTAACTCAGCTGCTCTCCAACAGGAATAATAATCTAACAGCCTTTTGAGAGTCATGCAATAAGATCTTTTGGGCTTTACTAGGCAGTGTAGTAAGTAAGCATTATTGCATAGGCAGAAATGAAAATCTGGCAACTTAAGTGTGTGTGTGTGTGTGTGTGTGTGTGTGTAGAATTCATAAGCACACATACATTAAGTAAACACAAGTGTATGTGCTCCTTTCTAAAAAGAAAAAGAAAAAAAAAAATCAGTGTTCCTTAAACCAAATGTTTTTTCCGGATGTCTTAGCTGGCGAAAGTATCATGGTGTCATTTTAAAAGAAAATGTCTCAGCGTCAGCCCTGCGGTTGCCCAGGCAAACCACATGAGTGGATTCATCTCCCTGCAGCTCTTGCAGCCCTGATCTGGCTGACGCTGCATCCAGGCAGGCCCAGATCTGGACTGTGCTGAGCACAGCATGAGCAAAGCATGGCCAGGAAAGGTAAAGACCTATGAGTTGTTTTCTCTGCCTGAGCTACACAAAGCTGAAACCAGATGTTCGAACAGCAAATACATGTGGTTTTTGGTTTTTAAATTTCAGCAGGTCCAGTGCTCATGCTGGGATATGACACAGGTGCATTTTAAGATCATACAGACTTATGCACAATTCATTATATCTGATGAGGAATTGCCTTGATCTCAAGGGGGGAAAAAAATCTAGTAACTTTCAGCAATAAAAATACACCCACCAAATGCTTCTTCCTCAAATATTGATGGCGAAGGACCAGTGGTTTAAATAGTAGCATCCAAGGCACACACAGTAGTGCAACCACTACCAGGAAACACTGAATTCCTTTCTACAAAGTAAGGACAAGGCACATCACATTAATCAAACATGCAGTTTCCAACTCCAGCACAAATTTCCCCCAAACAGTACTTTCTTACTGATCTAAGAATAACACTATCTAGCTTCTCAAAATAATTAGATGATGTTGTGGCAAAGCCCAGGAATTGTCTCATAGGATGAGAATTATAAATTCTGCCCTTTGTGGATACAGGAATTATAATAGGTCCTCCGAAGCTGAGGAGGATGGGCTGAATTTAGGTCTGGATATATGGGCTGAAAACTAAAACCACAGAAAGAGATTTTTAAAGGCTTTGCCAGAGTCACAGAAATATCTGGCTTCCTGACCTAGGGTAACCACCTAAGACAGTCCACCTCTGGGTTGACGCACCTGTCCGGAATACAGCATCGAATTACTAGAGTCCCCGTAGGAGAAGAGAAACATGTTTATGAAATGGATCAGAAGGCTCGGTGCTTTCTCAGATGTATTAGCATTATAGGCTGTCCACTTGTAAAATATGAGGATAACCAAGTAGCCGAACAAAGAAGTCATGAAGATGATTTCAGGAATAAATCCAAAGTAGATATTCAGCGGCTTCTTGAAATAGCTAGAAAGGAAGAGAGAAAAAAAAATGTTAAAGGTCAACGGACCCAGGGGGGCACCGGCTGGCTCGTCAGCGGAGCACGGGCCTCTTGATCTCAGGATTGTGTATTCGGGTCCCCCACTGGGCACAGAACTTTTTTTTTTTTTTTTTTAATTTAAAGATTTTATTTATTTATTTGACAGAGATCACAAGTAGACAGAGAGGCAGGCAGAGAGAGAGAGGGAAGCAGGCTCCCTGCCGAGCAGAGAGCCCGATGCAGGACTCGATCCCAGGACCCTGAGATCATGACCTGAGCCGAAGGCAGCGGCTTAACCCACTGAGCCACCCAGGCGCCCCAGAACTTACTTTAAAGGTGAACAGACCCAGGGTCACCCCTACACGAAATGGAAGTACTTAGTAGATTTCTTACCTACAGCTCCCTCAATTCTGTCTTTATCACTTAAAGAAGCAACAGCCAGAAGCACGGGAGGCCAACAGAAACAAGAAGGATTAACCGTGACTTCCAAACTTTTGGACCTTGAACATCCTGATACCAACTCCAGTAATCTTTTCCCATGAGAAAGAGACTAGAAAATATAGTACATTCTGGGACCACAGTTCATAATTTTAAATGAGTTACCCATAAAAGAAAAAAAGTCAATCACTCATTTTGATGAAAATGACATAAGGTTTTTCAAAGATCTTTACTGCAGTTATGAATTGTTAAGGGACTAATATTAAGCCTCATTTAAGAATATGAGATTTTTAGGGGGCACCTGGGTGGCTCAGTGGGTTAAGCCTCTGCCTTCGGCTCAGGTCATGATCTCAGGGTCCTGGGATCGAGTCCCACACTGGGCTCTCTGCTCAGCAGGGAGCCTGCTTCCCCCTTCTCTCTCTACCTGCCTCTCTGCCTCCTTCTGATCTCTCTCTGTGTCAAATAAATAAACAAAATCTTTAAAAGAAAAAAAAAGAATATGAGATTTTTATCAAAGCACTTCTTTAACACAGAACGGGGTTCTGAGTTACTAATCCCTCCCCAAATAAGCCATTATATCTTTATGCAAAAGCATTATCTAAGCTATGCGTGTTCTTGTGTCATAAATACAGCAACTCACGTATGGTTGAAGAGGCTCAAGGTGACTCCGAACATCATGTGGGTGATGCCTAGGATAACAGACGTCTTCATTTTAAAGGAGTTGAGAAAGGTCAGTTTATTGGTAGCAATGTTCCAGATCTGTCACAACACAAGGAAACAAAAAGGCATTACAGGGTTCGTGAATAGGATATTATTCACCTATTTCTTTTTCTTTAAAAGCAAGCTCTACCAAAAAAAAAAAGTAAGCTCTACGCCCAGTGTGGGGCTAGAACTCATGACCCTGAGATCAAGAGTTGCATGCTCCACCAGCTGAGCGAGCCGGGTGCTCCTATTCACCTACGTTTTAAAGCCTTTTTTTTTTTAGTTATAGAAGATTCTAAACACAGACTTAAGTAGAGAGGACAGTATAACAAACTCACATTTACCTATGACCCAGATGCACAATTACCTATTGACTCAAGGTCAATCTTATTTTATCACACAGACAACCTACTCTCCACCTCCATATTATTTGGAAGCAAAGTCCAGATATCATATCATTTTACCAGTAAATATTTGACTCTTTTTTTGCTTTGTTTTGTTGTAAGAAAGAGAGAGCCCGCCTGCTGGGGAAGAGGAGGAGAGGTGGGGAGAAGGGCTGAAAGAGAGGGAGAGAGAGAGAGAGTCTTTTTTTTCTTTTTTTAAGACTTTATTTATTTGAAAGAGAGAGAGTGTGAGAGAGCGTACAAGCAGGTGGGAGGGCAGAGGCAGAGGAAGCAGCAGACTCCCTGCTGAGCAGGGAGCCAGAGGCAGGACTTGATCCTAGGACCCCAGGATCACAACCTGAGCCAAAGGCAGATGCTTAACTGACTGAGCCACCCAGGTACCCAAGAGAGAGAATCTTTTTTTTTTTTTTAATATTTTTATTTATTTATTTGACAAAGAGAGAGAGATCACAAGGAGGCAGAGAGGCAGACAGAGAGAGAGGGTGAAGCAGGCTCCCTGCTCGGCAGGGATCCCAATGCAGGGCTCAATCTGAGGACCCTGAGATCATGACCTGAGCTGAAGGCAGAGGCTTAACCCACTGAGCCACCCATGCACCCCAAGAGAATCTTAAGCAGGCTCCACACCCAGGATGGACATGGGGCCCGATCTCATGACCCTGAGGTCATGATCTGAGCTGAAATCAAGATCAGATGGTTAACTGCCTGAGCCACCCAGGCACCACACCCCACCTTTTTTAGGTAAGGACTAATTTTTTTTTTTAATATTTTATTTATTTATTTGACAGAGAGAGAGCGAGGTCACAAGGAGGCAGAGGGGCAGGCTGAAAGAGAGGGGGGAAGCAGGCTCCCCGCTGAGCAGAGAGCCTGATGTGGGGCTTGATCCCAGGACCCTGAGACCATGACCTGAGCTGAAGGCAGAGGCTTAACCCACTGAGCCACCCAGGCGCCCCAGGACTAATTTTTTTTTAAAACATGACCACAATACTGTTATCACTCCCAAAAGCATTAACACTGACTCTTTAATATCATGAAACATACAGTCAGTATTTAAAATTCCTTGATTGTGCCCCAATTATTTATTTATTTATTTTTAAAGAGATTTTATTTATTTGAGAGAGAGAGAAGGATAGCACAAGCTAGGGAGAGAGGCAGAGGGAGAGGGACAAGGAGACTCCCTGCTGAGCAGGGAGCCCAATGCAGGGGTTGATCCCAGGACCCTGGGATCATGACCTGAGCCGAATGAAGGCAGTTGCTTAATTGACTGAGCCACCCAGGCACTTATGCTTCAATTAAAAGAAAAAGAAATTCATTTATTCCAAGTAGAGTCCAGATTAGGTCTCTACACTGACACAGCTCTTAAATATCTAATCTATAAATTCTCCCTCTACTCTCCTTTTTTATTCCTTTATTTGAAGAAGCTGGGACATTTATTTTGTAGATGTTCCCACGGTCATTTTTTCCCTGATCATATCCCCATGGTGTTGTCTTTCCATCTATTTTGATTTTTTTTAAATTTTATTTGGAAAATAAGAATCTATTTGAAACAGGAAAAAGGGGGGAAAAAAAACAGAGAGAGAGAGAAAGAAACAAAGAAAAAAAAAAAAGAAATGTAAAATGTTAGTCTGAAGGACAAACGAGTTGTGAGGAAACACCTGGAGCTCAAAATAGTCTCTTCCCCTGGTGCTGGAGTTTTGCTGTCCTGTGGGAGCCATAAGCTTGTCATTCACCTGTTCTTCCAGTCTGTCTTCTGGGGGAGTTCCATCTATTTTTAAATATCAGTTGCCTTAAGCTTTTGTCACCTGGGCCTGGACATCTGCAATATTTTCCACAGTTCTGCCTCTACTTGACCATCAGATTATGTTTCCTGAACCAACGCCTCCCATGCAGGCACTTCCCTGTGCCCAAACCTACCCCGCACCCCCACTGTCTTCTTCAGGACAAAGTGCAGACTCAGGAACATGAGGGGCCAGGTCTGCTGCCGGCTAGCCTCCCATCATGTTTCCTGAACTGGGGTCCTTGTGAGGCGCTCACGCTCGGCGACTTCTAACCCGAAAACTTGTGGCTAATTCTCTCTCAGACCCAGTGTGCCCTGAGATTCAGTTCTATAGCTCCAACGGCCTGATGGACATGTATACCTGCGCGTCCAACAGGCTCTTCAAACTCAACACCTATCCTTAAGCATCAAATGAGATGTATGCAAGACAACAACAAAACAAAACAAACAAAACCAAAAACTTTCTGTCAACTGCAGAACACTATAGAATGTTACCTAGTATTATTTTTAGACTCTAAGCTACTTGAGGGCAGGGGCTACAACTGCAATTATGTGTTTCCCCCAGCAAGCACTATGCCTAGACACAACAGGGATTCAGTAAACATTTGTTAAATGCGTATGTGAAATGTTATTCAACCTCTTCAAGCCTCTCTCTCCTTATCTGTATGAAGGGGAGAGCAGTACTTACTTCCCTCCTAGAAATGTTTCAGGGTGTGGAGTACAGAGATTGGCCCACAGTGACCATTTCAGTAACATATGCTTTTATAATAATCAAAATGAGTAACTTTGTATCTCCCCACTTCTATGCTTTTTTTTTTTTTTTAAAGATTTTATTTATTTATTTGACAGACAGAGATCACAAGTAGGCAGAGAGGCAGGCAGAGAGAGAGGAAAGGAAGCAGGCTCCCTGCCAAGCAGAGAGCCCGATGTGGGGCTCGATCCCAGGACCCCGGGATCAAGAGCTGAGCCGAAGGCAGAGGCTTTAACCCACTGAGCCACCCAGGTACCCCTACTTCTATACTTTTGCACATACTTCTCTCTCACCTGTAACAGTCTGAAATTTTTAAGGTTTTCTTTATTTATTCATGAGAGATAGAAAAAGAGAGAGGAAGGCAGAGGGAGAAACAGGCTCCCCGCCAAGTAGGGAGCCTAATGTGGGACTTGATCCCAGGACCCTGGGATTCTGACTTGAGTTGAAGGCAGACGCTTAACCAACTGAGCCACCCAGGCACCCCTGAAATATTTTTTAAAGGCCAAATTAATGCCCATTTTTTTTTAAGAAACCTTGATCTTTCTGTCCCATAACAATCTGTTTTTCCTCTGGAATTCTGTACTCCTTCTTGTCTAATGCTCATTCTTAAACTCCTCCCTCCATCCCCCTTTAAGCACACAATACAAAAGATTTGATCACACTTTATTTGCCTAAGGTTTTTTTGTTTTGTTTTGTTTTGTTTTGTTTTTTTAATTCTGAGAAAAGTTTCTGTAAGTATGTAAGGATAAAAATGGAAATCTAAAAATCCATAGAAAGAACTGCTTCTGGTTTGTTAAAACATCTGCTAAAAATAAAAGCCAAACTAAGTTAAACAGAAATAAACTGGGAAGGAGTCTTAAAAGTCAATCTTCCTAGGGTCAAAATTATCACACACCTCTGAAATAAATAGTGCAGGAAAAATTATTTGGCTCCCCAAGGCATTTGGGTTTCTTATAGTTTGGAAGTACTCTAGACCGCTACACAAAGGCTTTCCAAAAATACTTCAGCTGAAAACCAAGTTAACTATCTTCAATTTAATTCTCTCACTTCCGGATTACAGTTTAAAAATCTGGTGTTAGGGGCACCTGGGTGGTTCAGATGGTTGGGCGTCTGACTCTTGGTTTCTGCTCGGGTCATGATCTCAGCGTCATGGGACCAAGCCCTGGAACGGGCTCTGTGCTCAGCAAGGAGTCAGCTTGGGATGCTTTCCCTCTTCCTCTCCTGCCCCTCTGCCCTTCCCCCACACACATGCACACTCTTTCTCGCTCTCTCTCAAGTAAGTAAGTAAATAAACCAATAAATCTTTTTTTTAAAATGTGGTATTAGACAAAAGGAAAGAAGTGTTCTTACTGGATCGATGCCAAAAGGGTATGGTCCACCAAAAACTCCAGGGACGGATGGGTTCAACTGCAGAACAGGGTTCCCCCGAAGTGTCTCCTCCCTACCACGTCAGGAGAAAAGTTCCATTTATTTTTATCAAGAGAGGGAAACTGCTGGGGTCCAAAACTGATCCTAAAAGAAACTACTACAGCTGTCTTCTCTCTTCAATAAAAGAGGAGCGACTAGCATCTGAGAATAAGAAGGGATCAGAAATAACAAGACCACAACAAACAAACACACCTACACAACTAAGTAAGGAATTTGGGGACTCTGCTTTTAATTTATAAGAAACAATGTGCCTAAATTTATAGTCTCAGTTTTTTTCTTTTCTTTTTTTTTTTTTTTTTAAAGTAGGCTCCACACTTAGGGCTGCCTGGGTGGCTCAGTTGGCTAAGCATCATAAGTAGGCTCCACACCCAGCATGGGGCCCAATATAGGGCTTGAATTCACAACCCCAAGATCAAGACCTGAGCTGATTTCAACAGTCAGATGTTTAACTGACTGGGCCACCCAGGCACCCCAGGCACTCAGTTTCTTGATAGTGCTGAAGGAATCACAAACATTTGCTTGGCTGGGGCATAAATAAGAGGGGACACTGGATTCTTCTTAAACAGAGACGCTGTCAGCCACCTCTTCAAGAGGTAGAAGTTTACCTCTTGTCTGGACAATCAGAGCTGAACAGAAAGGGAATGAACTTTGACTTTTAGCTTCTTTGCAACTTACGTCCAATTATATAAAGTGAACATTGGCCGTACGCTCCAGGATGACCCGAAGATATTAAGAGACTTGGAAAAGCAATCATTGTAGATGAGGCCAGTGTAGATGGAAAACACGCCCATCAACAGGATAATGTACCGGCCACTGAACACGGTGCTAAACATCTGGGAACCAGAAGAAAGAAGTCAATGAAACATACTCCTCATGGCTCATGTTGTGACAATGTTACAGAGAATATACGACCCTTCTTCTCACACTAATCTACCCCACCCACCTCGGGTCAGAGAGCTTAGAGTAAAAGCCAAATACAGTGCTAACAAGAAATTACTTTCACAACACATGACTACTTTAGAGTTAAAATGAATATAACTTCTCTACTCCTGTAACGGCCTCTGTAACTTCTCTGTAAATGCATGGATAAAAGACTCCCAGATCATAATTTTATAATGAATGCTTGAGAGATGACAAAGTTTCAGTCCAACGCAGATGGAGCAAACATTACCTCATTCTCATTCTTCTGAGAGAGGATCCGGCTCTCCCTCAATACCATCCATACAGCAAAAAGGGTCATCAAAATACCATGGCCAAAGTCCCCAAACATCACAGCAAACAGGAAAGGGAAAGTGATGATGGTATATGGAGCTATAAAGAAACCAGAGGAAAAGAGCAAAGTACAGAAAACCGTGACCATCAGCAGCAGATCACATTCCTCCTCATACACTAAGATCAGTATAAGGGAACTTATTCTCTAGCTGTTGGTCAGACGGACTCCCAGAGAAAATCTTCCATGACAGGATCCCCACGTCCTCACAAAGCAGCTCTGATGGGATCTGGGCGACCATTAGCATTTTAAACAAAGAACATAGGAAGTGAAAGTTCTGACCCTAGACCTGGCAACGGTGTGGTTTATTCTTTGATTCCCTTTCTCTAACCCCAGAACGGTGCTCCTTTGACAGGCAAGCTTTCTTCTCTTGTGCAGCAACCATTTCTCAGCTGAATAAAGTTCCCAGGTAAGTGGGAGGAAGCCCAGAGCCCAGAGAAAAGCCAGTCCCGCAGACTTTAGCTAAAAACAAAATTCTCAGACTTGTGACTTAATAATTACTCTCCTGTTTTTGCTTTGTGAAATCTGCTTTGTGTCTAAAATGGTCGATAATTGCTATGTTTTCTCTAACCAGGAATAGGGAAGCCATTCAAAAATATCAGAAATCTCAGAAGAAACATTTTGCTTAAAGCACTTCCTACAAATGGTGTGCTAGAGAAAGCCAGGTGTTTCATAGTTGTGAGAGCACACAAAAGAATCCAATCCCCTGAGCTCACTCCTATAAAACCATGTCTCAAAGGAGAGCCGCCCAGTAATAAACTTCCCTCCCTGTGTCAAAATGGGCACCTCCTTACAGGAATTCTGCCAGGGCTGAGGTCTTGACAACATCATTAGTTTTACGCCAGTTACTCAGGAACATTTGAAGGGAGATATTAGAAGAAACAAACAAATAAAACCTGTAGAGGGAGAAGATTCAAGCTTTTTTACCTGGATTTATCTCTCGGTAAGTTCCAATTCCGTAAGCATCTACTATGTTCTGAAAGCCATATGTGAACTTGTTTGTTTTGTTATAGGTTGGGGGCGTCTGATTTGTTTGCATCCTGTTCAGAATAGAGGGCACAGTGGAACCACTGTGTTCCTGGGAAACAGTAAACACATATATCAAAATTAGATCGTATGTATTTATCAAAACTCATCAAACTACACATATAAAATAGGTGCTTTTTACTTTACATAAATTGTATGTCAATCTTGCCCAGTCTTTGGAGAAATATGAGCTAGGTATAAAATCTACAGTGAAAGATTTAAATTAAGTGTTACAAAGAATATCCTTATGTGAGAAAATTCAATTCCAAAATGTGCAACCAAAGAAAACATGGAACTTCCTTGTCTGGAGACATTCTCATGTGCCTTTCTAAGAGTATCGTTGTTCTGCCCTTTTATGGAGAAAGCAGCGTTATCTTCTCGAACTTTAACTACTAGACAGGACTGCCAGGGTTATCTCTCAGAGCAGTCTGATGGGAGCACCTGGGTGGCTCAGTTGGTTAAGCTGCTGTCTTTGGCTCAGGTCATGATCTCAGAGTCCTGGGATCAACGACCCTGCACCGGGCTCCCTGCTCAATGGGGTCTGCTTCTCCCTCTTCCTCTGCCCCTTCCTACCCCCTGCCGCTTGTGCTCTGCCTTCCCTCTCCCTCAAGAAAATAAAATCTTAAAAAAAAAAAGGAACCAGTCTGAGGGTCAAAGAGAATGGATAAAGAAACTGACATTCTGGTCAGGAGCTATTCTGAAGAAGCATGAGTATATAACCAAGTCATTTCATCTTTTTAAAAAAATATTTTAATATTTATATATTAATTTTGAGAGCGAGAGAGTGTGCGTGTACATGAGTGGGGGAGGGGGAGAGAGAGAATCCCAAGCAGACTCCACGCTCGGCGCGGAGCCCGATGTGGGGCTGGATCTCACAGCCCCGAGATCATGACTTGAGCTGAAATCGAGTCAGACACTCAACCGACTGAGGACTGAGCCACCCAGGAGCCCAGTCATTTCTTTGAACTGCAGTTTCCACATCTGGAAAACAAGGTTATACAAAATGTATTGTTAGGAGGAAAGAGGAGTACAAGATGAGTCTACCCAAGAACTCTGAAAGTAAAAATGCCATAAAATGTCATCAATTAACGTTAGTACCAATGGGAACCGCTCCTCCCAGCTGCACTGCCAGCTGTGGGGGACTCACCGTGCCCCTTCTGAGCGCAAACTGGATGGAGTCGAGGTCGGTAACGGGGCACCAGACCTCTGCGATCAGGCACTTCTGGGTCACGTCGATGTTGCACAGGTTCAGGGTGTGGTAAATGGCCTTCATCTTCCGCACTTTGATGAACCAGACTCGGATGTTCTTGGCAGCCGCCTGCAGGACCCGCTGGCGGTGATCCTCTGTTTGATTGAGAACCTTATGGGAGAGAAAGCAGCACAGAGAGATCCTTCTACACCAGGCTTAGGTCTCAGCATATGAATGGCAAAGAGCACAGCTTTCTGAGCAGGACTGCTAGGGATTTATTCTTCTTCTGACTAGAATGGCTTTTTTTCGGGGGGGGGATTATAAAGAATTAGAATTTTGGTTACTAATATTCATTTTCATTCAGCTTCAAGCTAAAAAGAAACCTGAAGAGATAGTTTTTAGGTCCTCTATATTTATCTTCCCCCCAACTCCACAGCTAATCTGATCATTAAAGAGCAATGACTTTCCATGTAGAGTCTGTAACTCAGACTCAAAGACGTCAGCAGCATAGGGCTGGGACTGGACAAAATCCACTATTAAAAACAGCAAGCTGCAGAATGCACTGAACATAAGCCAGCACCGGGGAATGATGGGAAAGAGGCAGGGCTGAATGCCGCTGCCCGCCTATGCCAAGAGAGACTCCATGCCAGGGAACAAGGGACAGGAGACACTGGGGGGTCAGAAGGACTCAAAACCTTAGAAGATATTTAGACTGCCACATACCACTGTTATCGTGGGGCAGGTAAGTCTTTATCTTTCTGTCAGGCTTCTTGGGGGAAAAAAGACGTTTCAGTGGTGATCCTTTGGAAACCAGTACACATTGCCCTTAGGAGACGGGATACTTAACATTCTACTGCCTTGTTTATCACCATTTATGATTTCAATAGCAAGAGAGGGGCTAAGCCAAAGGGCGAGCAACCCGCCACTCACACTTCTGCATGAAAATTAACCTTAAATCTCCACATTTCTTTAAAATGCACAAGGCTGGGGTGCCTGAGTGGTTCAATGGGTTAAAGCCTCTCCTTTTGGCTCAGGTCTTGATCCCAGAGTCCTGGGATCGAGGCCCACATCGGGCTCTGTGCTCAGCGGGAAGCCTGCTTCCTCCTCTCTCTCTCTGCCTGCCTCTCTGCCTGCTTGTGATCGCTCTCAAATAAATAAATAAAATCTTAAAAAAAAAATACACAGGGCTCCATCATACTTGGTTCATCAAGTCAATTCAGAAAAAAGTAGTAACTACTTTCTGAAGGGCAATAGGTGGTGACTTCCATAAAAAACACACATGCTAGAGAATCTCTTGTATCACTTGAGAAGGAACAAAGTTATTTTCACACCTTCTGGCTGTTGACAATTTTACAACTACTATTCAAACTTCAGGAAGGATGCTGGATAAACTTGTAAGCATTGCCCTATCTGCTTTTCTCTTTCCCTATCTCCCACACCCACATTTTTTTTTTTCAAGATTCTATTTTTAAGTAATCTCCATACCCAACATGGGGCTCCAACTCACAGCCCCAAGATCAAGAGTTGCATGCTCTACCGACTGATCCAGCCAGGCACCCCTCAATTCCTTTTTTTTTTTTTTTTAAAGATTTTTATTTATTTATTTGACAGACAGAGATCACAAGTAGGCAGAGAGAGAGGAGGAAGCAGACTCCCCGCTGAGCAAAGAGCCCAATGCGGGACTCGATCCCAGAACCCTGAGATCATGACCTGAGCGGAAGGCAGAGGGTTTAACCCACTGAGCCACCCAGGTGCCCCACCCTCTATTCCTTTTTAAAGTTTCAGTTCAGGGTGCTTGGGTGGCTCAGTGGTTGGGTGACTTCCTTTGGCTAAGGCATGATCTTGGAGTCCCAGGAATGAGTCCCACCTGGGGCTCCCTGATCAGCGGGGAGACTGCTTCTCCCTCTGACCCTCCCTCCTCTCACATTCTCTCTCTCTCTCACTCTCTCTCTCAAATAAATAAATAAAATCTTAAAAAAAATAAGTTTCAGTTCATACAGCTGGGTATTTCAAAGATCAAATTTTGCATATTGCCCGTGCCTTTTAAAAACCTATGCATAAGTCAAGGAGGAGATAAGATAGCTCTAGAACCCAGAATGTACTAACTGGCCTATCACCTGCCAGCAGGTCTAAAAGTCTAAAAAACTCTCTTCCCTTGGTTAAATAGGTTAAGTGTATCTCAAAGGAGATGGGAATAGGTTGTTGGTGGGTCACAGACAATGGGGGCTGGAGGGAAAGATGATAAAGGGAGTTGAAATAGGAGTTAGAACATATCTCTGACAATTCTACCCCTGCTGGAAAGAACTGTTTTTGATATTAAGTACAGTGGCCCCTATGTGTAGGGGACACCACCCAAGATCCCCAGTGGGTGCCTGAAACCGTTAATACTATCTAACTATTTATAGTATATTTTGTTCTACACACACATACCTATGATGAAATTTAATTTAAAAAAATTACATACAGTAAGAGATTAACATTAATAATAGAACAGAATAATTATAACAATATGTTACAATAAAAGTCACGCGAATGTGGTCTTTCTCTCTCAATATCTTATTGTACCATACTCACCCTTCTTGTGAGGATGTGAGAGGACACAATGCCTAGGTGAGGGGATGGAGTGAGGAGAATAGCGTAGGCTGCTACTAGCCTTCTGACATCATCAGGGGGAGGATCATGTTTCAGATCCGCAGTTGACCGTGGGTAACTGAGATCTCAGAAGGCAAAATGACAGAGAACGGGGAGCAGGGACTGCTCTGTGTTTTAATGCTTCAAGAGGACAATCATCACATCCTTTCAACTGGGAACAAAGCTCCAACTGGCCATGCTTTCCCTCCATGGATGCCTCAGTCATGACTCCAACCTTAGGACCTCATGATAACCATGGAGTGTATAAACCACACTGGTGATGTCAGTCTCTTCTGGGGTACAAGACTTATGGTAGGGGGCGCCTGGGTGGCTCAGTGGGTTAAGGCCTCTGCCTTTGGCTCAGGTCATGATCCCAGGGTCCTGGGATGGAGCCCTGCATCAGGCTCTCTGCTCCGCGGCGAGCCTGCTTCCTCCTCTCTCTCTCTGCCTGCCTCTCTCTGCCTACTTGTGATCTCTGTCTGTCAAATGAATAAATAAAATCTTTTAAAAAAATTAAATAAATAAATAAAAATAATTAAAAAAAAAAAAGACTTATGGTAGGCCTTTCTGGCTAGACCGTGTGGTTAAGATCTGAGGTAATCAGAGTTACACACCAAGCTATTAAGAGCGGCTGCCTCTGGAAGGAGAGAGAGTGTGAGAGACGAAGGAACTGACTTTATGTGTACTTCTGTATTGCTTGATATTTTTTTCTCATCTAAGTATACTTTTTTTTACCTCATAAAAAATCTCAGACTCATAAGGAGGGAAACTGAATACTCAAAGCAACAACAATTTCAGAGGTATAGCATTCCTGTCGTGTTTGAGGATGATTAACACTGTCATGCTATTTTTAGCAGTCATTCCCTGCAACTTTTCCCCAGTGCCCAACAGCACAAGTCACCCACGGACACTTCCGTTTTTGGCATCCTGGCTGCTATAGGTGTCTCATAAACTGTTAGTATTTCAAGGAAGGAGAATGGTCTTCGATTATAGTATTTCACACACACACAAATTCCCTCCAGCCCTCTGATACCATTTGGAGATCGTCAATCCTGGTATTAACTCCAGAAGCCATTTCCTTCCGCTCCTGTGGTGTCTCAGGACAGGGATAGAGTGAGGCCCGGAACCTGGAACATACAGACACAGCCCAGTGAAAAACGAAGTTTCTTTCTTTTTTTTTTTTTTAAGATTTTATTTATTTATTTGACAGACAGAGATCACAAGTAGGCAGAGAGGCAGGCAGAGAGATGGGGAAACAGGCTCTCCACTGAGCAGAGAGCCCGAAGTGGGGCTCGATCCCAGCATCCTGGGATCATGACCTGAGCTGAAGGCAGAGGCTTTAACCCACTAACCCACTCAGGCACCCCGAAAACTTAAGTTTCTTAACCTGTCCAATTTAAATAACCTCAGAAAGCAATCTCAGTGTACTAGAAGGACCAATACAGAATTAGCTCAGACTGGCGCACTGATCATTAATAAATCCTAAGTGTCCTATAGATAGAGCAAGAACATCTGAACTACCCTTACATTCTCTGCAGCTACTGAATTCCCTTAAAGTGTTAAAAACTCAGTGGTGAGGGGCGCCTGGGTGGCTCAGGGGGTTAAGCCTCTGGCTTCAGCTCAGGTCATGATCTCAGGGTCCCGGGATCGAGCCCCGCATCGGGCTCTCTGCTCAGCAGGGAGCCTGCTTCCTCCTCTCTCTCTGCCTGCCTCTCTGCCTACTTGTGATCTCTGTCAAATAAATAAATAAAATCTTTAAAAAAATAAAAATAAATAAAAACTCAGTAGTGCAAATCATATTGTAAATTATTAGAAAAAGGTGGCAAGGAAAAGAGATCCTATGGGTAGAATTTCAGAAAAGTGTGAGGGCACAGTGCCTATATAGCACACTACTGGGTACACAAACCCATTGTCCTAAAACAATGTAACATTTGTAAACCATGAGTCCTAAATACATTTTTTCAAAGAAAGGAAATTGTGGTTTTGACAGTACTTTTAAAAATGAACTTAGGTCATTTCTAATTGTTTAAAATAGTCCTAATATAATTAAAAGATACTTGCACTGTGTCAGTAGACTAAAAGGGTTATTGTTTCACTCTTCTATATTCCATGGCTTAATAGGCAGCCTGGCTGCACCCTCTGGGAGGCACATTTCTCTTACCCTTCGCAGATTTTCTTGACTCTGTTTTTCAGCTGATCGCCTTGGAAGAAGATGATGAATACGGACTTGTGCACGTGGTCACCCTGGGCCCCAAACCCAAAACAAAGAATTCAGATTTCTGGCCTGGAAGAAAATTTCTTAAATACCCTACTTGGTGCTACAGGAACAATGGGAGTCCTTGAAGGATATGGCAACCCTGCACTTTTTAAGCTCTGTTACTAGAACATTTGCCCTGTGGTCTCCCATTCACACAAAAAACCCTTCTGTATTTGTTTTTAAACTCAACCATGAGCTGAAATACAGATGCTAACATGATTCTCCTTGTAGCACCATATAGCCCTTTTTACTAATTCAACCTCAGACCCTACAATGCCTGAGTAAGGAGGGAGGAGAGGAAAGGAAGCCATTCCTGTTTGTTCCACGCTTATAAGTTCCCAGATAAAGGGGACTGAGGAACCATAAGGAGGTGAGGGTTGGGGAAGAATGCTGATATAGAATCTCATGCTTCATGCTACGTTTGATCTAAGGGCCAGGGAGGAGGGCCATCTACTACAAATACCAAGTTCACACGTGGAGTCTGACACAAGGACTGCAGGGCAAGGTCAGAAAATTAAGCATAACTGGGTGTTAACCAGTATTGTCTCTGGTTGCCTGTATTTTCTCATATTCCCAGAGTTCTTATAATAAAAAACAAACAGGCTTTAGAAGGATAAAAGGAGATGAGGATTGAAGAAAATGAGGCAAAGAGTCTTAAATCCCTAAGTTCTCCAGGATGGAAAATAAACTGGAGCATGTGCCTTGTGTAGCCGCTCTGCTGTAGCTATCCAGACCCCTTTCCTCAACTTGTTGATAAAATAATCTTTCTGTTGCCCAGAAATTTGTCCAAGTATTCCCGAGAACAGCTCCACATTAGGAGTCAATACAAACTGCAATGTCTCCACAACGTGAGGACAGCCTGCGGGGAGTCTGCCCAGCTCTGCTCCTCTGGGAGCTCCCTGAACCCTAAGTGTCACCACTCTCCTGTTCAGGAGGATAAAAGGATAAAAGCCTCAGGTGCTCAGACCATTTCAGCTGCATGACCCACTCATTATGAGAAGTCTCACAATCCAATCTCTCTTTGTGGAGAGCAAAGGATACTTATTTTAGAAAATCCAAAGGATAACTTTCAACAGAAAAAGCCCAGGCTTCCAAATAATACCAATATAAAAGCATAGTAAATTTTTTTGCAGAACATTTCACCTTCCTTGCTTGGGCACTTTGAAATCAGGATTCACCATACTTAGTATATGTTGATGTTAAGAGCTCTGCCCCATTATGTCAAATGCCAAGATGTTCAGCCATTCCTACTTTGCAAAGCACGAGGTAGAGAAGATCCTCTGATCTTGCACAATGTATTAGTTTTAAACGAAGTTTCTAAATCTCCCAACAAACAAGTAGACAAAAAACCTTACCAAGTAAAACTTTCATCAACTTAAAGGTCATAGTTGAGGAGGAACTCTCTCCTCTCCTTACACATTGAACTGGAACTGGAATTGGAAACTTGGAACTGGAAAATTCAGATGTCACACTCTGAATTTTCATAGAAAGTTAATTAATTTTCTCTTGGCCTCTGATAAGTAACAGAAAGTATATAAAGCTGAAGTTTAAAATAAGGGGAGAAAATATACTTATAGTCCAAATAATACTGACACAGGTGAGGCTCGAAATGTCTATGCATCTGTCAGTACACATCATCGGCACATAAAGGACGGAAGTTAAGAGGAAAAGAACAATACTTCCTATTTGCAGATCGGGGCAGGGGGAAACTTAAGGGATCCTCTGTGGGAGGGCCAGACTCAGGGGGTACCATGCAGGGTTACTGCTCTGAGCTCCCTTTTACAAGACCTATGCCACGGGACACAATTTCCTTGTCTTACAGTCACAGGATCCTCCAGGGGGTTCTCGATTTCAGCCTGTCGCAGGAACACATTCCCCCGGCACACCCGCCAAAGCATGCGCTCAAAAGTAGGGATGCGCTCCCGGTTAATCACACCAGCCACGAAGCTGTGGGAAGAAGAGCCAGATGGGGAACTCTACTCCACGCCATGGGTTGGGAGGCTTTAAGACAAAGAAGGGAATTGAGGGGAGAGGCGCAAACATGACAAACACACAGCTATGCAATGTTATGTCAAAAGGGCTCCCAAAGTCTTCTTCCCAGAACCAGGAGAGGGTTGATGGAACAGCTCAGGAACTGAATCCAAAGTGACACAGGAACGTCTCAAGAAGTTCAGAAGAGAATGCATCCTGGAAACAATTGAATGCCCAGCCTCACTACTCTTTTGACAGCAAAAATGAATGTGACCCCGAGTTATGGAGGTTTGAAGCACGACTTACCCAAGTCTTAAAGGTGTGCCTCTTCCCATCTCACTTGGCTCCAGGAGGGACGAGGACTCTTCCAGCAAGTCTGGATCCGCCATCTGCTGATGATGCAATTCAGCCTGAATTCACAAATCAATTAATATCTAATGAAAATAGTTAGTGGCATGCAGGGAACGAGGAACCAGGAGATAAGTTCAGAAAATAAAGACGGAAAAGAAAGAAACCACCAAAAGAGACGACATACCCACAAAAACAATAAGGGAAGAAAACAAAGGAAAGAAACAAGAGGAAAAGAAAGCTTAAATGCCCCAGTAAAGCATCTGGGGAAATGGTTTTTCAAACAAGGAATAAAGGAAAAAAACATTAAATAATGGTGACGATGTATAAATCTGTTATTTGGTGGAAACCATTTTTTTCTGTGTTTCCCTGAACGAGCCATGAAAGTATCAGGAAATATGTGTGCATATGGATGGAAGCTGAGATGTTTCTGTTTTTAGCAGAACCAAAGCAACTGTGAAGATACTTGCAACATCAAATTTCCAGGCAGCTACAGACTAGAATTTTCCCTGGGTGGGAATGTGAAAGATGGAGACTCTCCTTCCAAGGAAGAAAGCAAGGCACAGCCACCGCCCCAAGCACAGTGGGATCAGGAGAAAGGCAGAAGGGGCATTTCCACATGTCTGGGTTTCCATGTTCTTCAAAATTCAGTACATGAGAGCTTTCAACATGGCCACCATATAAAATGCCCCAAGCCATGGGATTTAAAGAGTATTTCTTGGGACGCCTGGATGGCTCAGTATTAAGCCGCTGCCTTTGGCTCAGGTCATGATCCCAGGGTCCTGGGATGGAGTTCCGCATCAGACTCCTTGCTCGGCAGGGAGCCTGCTTCTCTCTCCACCTCTGCCTGCTTGTGAGTGTTCTCGCTCTCTCTCTCTCTCTCTCTCTGACAAATAAATAAATAAATAAAATCGTACAAAAAAAAAAAAAGTAAATCATATTAAAAAAAATAAAGAGTATTTCTTTCTCCACAAGCACAATAGATGCGCAGGCCTAGGCCTCCACTGTATCAACAGAAGGAAGAAAAGGTGAAAACTTCTCTGAGTGGCCTAGTTTCTGACCGGGAATCTAAGAATCTTAAAAAGGTGATGTTTGGCTATACAGCTTAAGTGTCACTGAGAACAAAGTGGAAGCCAATAATCTTAATCAAGTGAAGATAATGTAGCCGATAATAAGCCAATATAGAGCATGTACGCTAGTTTAATTGTTCAGATTTAAAATGATTTCCACCATGACAGTTTATACAATGAAATGAAGGAGAGGGACCTTCTCAGATGGAGATCTATACTTCCTAGATGCTCTCTACCCAACGCATCCTACCACCTTTTATTCTTACCAAAAAGGAGAAGCTGCTCTAAAAAATAAAGGCCAATCAACGTCTCTATCACTTGATCTCCCCAACTTTAATATCCACACACTGCTTGCTTGACCAAAGACTAGAAATCAGCCATAATAATCTCCCTTTTCAAAAGCAAAACTAAACAAAAAAAATAGAATTTTTCTCTATCATTTTCATCCCAAACATCAATTCAACTCCCTTCTTGTTAACCCTGTGATCAAAAAATGTGACGGGGTGGGGCGTCTATGCGGCTCAATTGTTAAGTGTCTGCTTTCAGCTCAGGTCATGTCCCAGGATCCTGGGATGGATCCCCACATCAGGCTCCCTGCTTGACAGGGTGGGGTGGGGGGACTGCTTCTCCCTCTCCCACTCCCCCTGCTTGTGCTCCCTCTCTCGCTGTGTCTCCCTGTATCAAATGAATGAATAAAATCTTAGAAAAACAAACAAACAAACAAACAAAAAACCTTAAAAAATGTCACAAGGGAATCTCACCTGATAAGTGACAGGACCATAAAGGTAAAGCCAAGGGGTTGGGGGGAGGACTTTAGGATTGTGTAAAAACCTACAGATATAAACCAAATGATAAGGCTGAAAGCCTAAAAAAAAAAATAAAGAAATTTTTGGGGAAGTGAATTCTAAAAGTTGATGCAGGATCAACATTCAACCCTCCTTTCACTCCCTGACCCCCCGAAAAAAAAAAAAAAAAAAAAAAAAAAAAAAGGAAGGGCAGGCACTGAGTACATCAGAGGGCAGACAGATACTGTCCTCAGATGTTGAAAAAGTTTAAGATGAGATAATGCGGGCAACAGGTTTCCATTTCCTATCAAATGGAAGTTTAGCTTTCTTGTTTCTACTTAATATCAAATCAGCTGATTGCAAGCCACAGGTAACTCATTTTAAGGATCTAGATGACTACCTCATTTCAACTTGTTCTAGGGATGTCCCTTGGCAAAAACCAGTGAAACTGACTGCTACCCGCAAGACTTCTGCCTACTTCCTGCCATGGTTCATAAGACCTGGTTTCAGTAAATCCAAAAGATCAGGCACAGCGCAAGCCTATGTGCTGTACAGGGGACAACTGCTTTCACTACTTGCTACTTAAGAATCCTAAATCTTATGGGGCGCCTGAGTGGCTCAGCAGGTTAAGCTTCTGCCTTCGGCTCAGGTCATGATCTCAGGGTCCTGGGATCGAGCCCCGTATCAGGCTCTCTGCTCAGCGGGCCTCTCTGCCCACTTGTGATCTCTTTCTCCCTGTCAAATAAATAAAATCTTAAAAAAAAAAAAAAAATCCTAAACCTTAGAGAGGAAAGTCAAACATTTTTAAATAAAATAATTGTGCCTCATGGGGAACTAGGAGGACCAGAACTGCTCACTGAGGGCCTTTAAGACGATCTCTAAAACTGCATCGTGGGGTATCTGAATCCTATTCTGGGTTCCTAATAACAATAACAACACTGCCGATGTGTGTCTGAATTACTTGCTATGCTCTCCGGTTCACCTTTGCCCCAGTCAGAACACGAAAACCATGCCCTGAAAGAGGAAGTGGCAGAATCTCAGCGGCGTCCTGTCCACAGCGCGTCCGGTTCAAGCTGCATTAATTAACGAGAGTAAACGCTTTTACTTCCAGCTACACTGCGAGAGAAACCACATTTCCTCACTGAAGGTATTCACCCAAGCCCCAGAGGAGATGGCAGATGAAAGAAAAGTAAAGTAAAGCAGATGGATGGAAGACGCAGAAGGAAAGGAAGGCAGGGAGACCTGCATGCCATTAACCATTACTTTTCCAGTCTTCTTTACACTCTCATATGTTAGGGTGCTTATGGTAAAAGATGCAGAGAACGCTCTCCAGCTCTTACAGTTGTTCATAAGCAAGAAGACTGAGAAAAGGATAATCAATAACAAGTCATTTTAAATGCTCTGGATAAGAAATGGCTAAGTTGAATTTGTAATCATCTTAAATCATAAGAATGCTCAATTTATGTTTACTCTTCCCCTTCCAGACATCTTGCCAATCATGACTGCTATGCCTAAAGATGGAAAGAACCACTTCCTGATTTAGCCATTTTTTGGTAACTCATTATTATAAATTACTGATCATGTTCACCAAATTTTATAAAAAAAAAAAAAGGGGGGGGTTAAACTGGTCGTGTTTTAGGCCATTTGCAAACATTATAATCTCAGGCATGGAAGACAATCTTGTGAAAAAAATTACATTTCCGAGATTTGAGGGTGGCAAGTTTCTTTATCTTTCGCATTATTTAAAGTGTGCGCTCACGTGCACAGATGCACTTCCTCTGTGACGTCTCATTTCCTGTCAAGGCAGTGACACCTGATGCTGCTGTCTGACAACAGTAGGGCAAGGGCCATTGAAAGGGACCTGGCTGAGCCTCTGAGCTAGTGACACGCCTCTGCAAGGCATGGACTCTGCACTCAAGAAGAAAGGCAGAGTAGCTGTTGCCAGAAGACTCCCCACACTATGGTGAGGGTGCTAGGAACAAGAGAAACTGATGACAAAAGCAGCCAAAGAATCTCTCACAGCCAAGGCCTCATGCTCAAAAGTACTTCAAGGTTATTACCCACCCCCCACCCTGGGGTGCCTGAGTGGCTCAGTCAGTTGGATACCTGCCTTTGGCTCAGGTCATGATCCCAGAGTCCTGGGATCAAGCCCCACATCAGGCTCCCTGCTCAGCAGGGAGTTCTGCTTCTCCCTCTGCCTGGTGCTCCCCATGCTTGTGCTCTCTCTCTCTCTCTCACTCTCATTCTATCTCAAATTAAAAAATCTTAAAAAAAAAAGGTTATTCCCTGCCCCCCACCAAAAAGTGTTTCATGTAAGGGGGAAACAACACACTATGGATCGGGCATGAAGGTCATGAAGACTTCTAGAGTACCTCCTAAGCATGGGTGTTTCATGTTGCGATTTATTAATCACAAAGCAAATTCCTAAATCCAGAACGTGCGATTTTAAAACTGTGATCATGTTTCCAAGTGATTTCTCTTATTTTGTTTTTAGTATCTTGTTTTTAATAACATTAACAATTCAAGTAACTATTGCCTGTAAGGGAATCCACTTGTCAGTGTTTATTCAGATTTTCTCTCAGAATGAACTAGACAAGGAAACCTATTCCATTCCTTAAACTCAGGAGGTTATGAAAGATATGTGCATACATTTCAGCAACAACCCAGCAATAAACTAAGACTGTATCAAAAGGGGAAGGGGGGGGTAGGGCAAAAGAATTAAGCCCCAAATGATGCTCAAAGTACCTGAGCTTTGACTCTGAGGCCAGCTGAAAATGGACCTGTGGGCAGCTTGGACAGCTTTAGAAGAGCACACGTCTGGGAGCATATGGAGGTACTGTGTTCTGGCATGTTTCCTGATATGACTCAGTGATGCATTCCGTGAGCACAGGGACCATATCTTACTCATCTTGTGACTCACGAAGAGTAGGTGCTCATTAAAGCTCAGTGAGTTAATGAATATAAATACAGTAACAGGTCAGGTAGTGAGCAACTGGAATTCCAGATTATTTGTTCATTAAAGCCACATGGCAAAAGTGGCCATGCCTGTTGCAAAAGACCTGAAACACTTGGAAAGAGTTCATCACACTGTCCCACACCCTCTAATGCAATGAGATACCGAGTCCTAGTGAAAGAAGTTTCTGTCAGTCTCAAAATTCTCCACGCAGTCTGCAAGCTGAATATTCACACCAAACCTCTCTGGGTACATAGCCAGATTCTTGGGATGATCATGCAATTAAATTCATCTGAGCTTTTCCCTGTTCCCTTGCCCCAACGGATTTTTTTTTTTAATTAGCGTAGCTTCACTGAATCAGTTCTTAGTTACTGAGGAATGTGTCACATCTTCAGCTAACTTTCTGGAGCCCAGCGGTTCACAAACTAGTGTGCCTCAGAGTCACCTTGTGGAAACAGATTGCTGGGCCCCACCCGCAGAGTTTCTGATTCCGAGTCTGGAGTGAGGATTAGTAATGTGCATTCTCACAAATTCCCGGATGAGGCTCACACTGCTGGTTACAGAGCCCGTGCTCCAGTCTAGAGGGCTAGAGAGTTGGTCTTTCCCTAAAAGACAGATATTAAAAGTAGAACTGAGAATACGTCACATGGGGCGCCTGGGTGGCTCTGTGGGTTAAGCTTCTGCCTTCAGCTCAGGTCGTGATCCCAGGATCTTGGGATGGAGTCTCACATCGGGCTCCCTGTTCAGCGGGGAGCCTGCTTCTCCCTCTCCCCACTGCTCGTGCATGCTCGCTCTCTCTCTCTCTCTCTCGCTCTTTTTTAAAAAATTTTTTTTTATTTTAAAGATTTTATTTATTTATTTGACAGAGAGAGATCACAAGTAGATGGAGAGGCAGGCAGAGAGAGAGAGAGAGGAAGCACGCTCCCCGCCGAGCAGAGAGCCCGATGCAGGACTCTATCCCAGGACTCTGAGATCATGACCCGAGCCGAAGACAGTGGCCCAACCCACTGAGCCACCCAGGCGCCCCATCTCTCTCTCTCGCTCTTAAATAAATAAGTAAAATCTCTAAAAAGAGAGAGAGACTACATCATGTGCTAACTAAAACGGGCCTTCTATTTTTAAAAAGCTTTGCCAAGTTTGTCGTCGTTGTTGAGCAAAGGACATGAAGAATTTTATGGAAGGCACACTGAACAGTGGCTGGACCAACAGCTGAAGTGTCTGATATTACTAATCTGGTGCCCAAGACACCTGACCATAAAAAAGAGAGTTACCAATATCTTGGGCCACCCATAAAGCAAGTCCAGGCTGAAAGTCCTCTCCAGGTGTAATTAGAAGGAAGCCTTCCTTTTAAAAAACCTACATTTTTAATGCAGGAACTGATTTACATTTTTCCCTATAAAGTAGTGCAATTGAGTTTCTGTGAAAATCCAGGAACTTCAAAACAGGCATCCTTCCAGTATTTCCATACAACATAAAGAAAAACTCTTGAAAAATTAAAATGTGATATGTGCTAGGTGGATAGTTACAAATGTGCTCATGACTGATAAGCAAACATAGAGAATAAAATAAAAATAAAAACTTGATGATAAAAAGTTCAGAGGTTAAAACTTCATTATAGTTTCATGTAGGACCGAATGTTTCTTGTTGCTTTAACTTTTACCTTAACCCTTTACTTACCTTAAAATATAATGTAAAAATTTCAACTATGTATATACAACTACTTTAGGGTTCCTTTCCCCAGCTCAGGATGAAAAACTGCAGAAAATGCAAAAATATACAAAACCATGACTGGCTGTGTACTGAATGAAAAATGGAACATAATCTGATATTTCTTCAACTAAAACGGTGTAAAAATGGTATTGCTTTCAAACTAGCAAATTAAAATAATTTCTGGAATAACAACATGGCCCACTTGTGCGGGTGTGTTATCAGCTGCTCAAATACTAAAAGAAACAATAGTCTGACCTCATCAAAAAACTGCTGAGTTTTGCGAAGTATAAATTTTAATTCAGTCAGTTCCAGGAAATTTCTCTTCAGAGCTTCCTGGTTTGTGTTGATTTCCTTCAGTTCATTTTCAATCTTCTCAAAATTGGCCTACAGGAAAAAAAAATCAAACTATTAACTTACAATAAGCTCGATATGCTTGTTCTGAAAGACAGATGAATTCATCCATCCCATAGAATTCTTGCAACCCTCATGGTTCAAACATATTTTATATCTACCCAGCAAATATGTGATTTTGCCAGGCAATTTTCTCGATGAAAATTTTTTGCTTAGCATCTTCTATCTTTATCTATAGGTTCTATTACACACTTGGTCGAATTTCTCAGGGGACTTTGGATGGATAAAATAAATATGGAAAAGTCTACTGCTGGGGCGCCTCGGTGGCTCAGTTGGTTGAGTGACTGCTTTTGGCTGGGATGGAGTCCCATATCGGGCTTCCTCTGCTTTGCAGGGAGGCTACTTCTCCCTCTCCCTCTGCCTGTCACTCCCCCTGCTTGTTCTCTCTCTGTCAAGTAAATAAATAAAATCTTAAAAAAAAAAGTCTACTGCTTATTCATTTAGTCTATGAGATTAATAAATTGGTAGGTAAGTTGACATTAATCCAATAAGGTTTCAGTAAGGCGACAAATGTTTATTTGGTAGCATGCGATATTGTTCAAGAGAGTGCTCTATAATAAGTCTCCACAAGAAACTCACAAGCAAGAGACAATGTGGACAATGGCAGCAAGAATTCCTCTATTCTCCATTCACACGGGAAAATAATTTCTGCATTTAAGTAGAAAGAAACACATCTGGCTTCCTTAGAATTGTTTACCTCTAAGTCAATCATGTCCCGGGGGAAGGGCACCTCTGGGTTTTCACCAGTGTCCATAATTGGGATATTAGCTTTTCTTATCTCTTTCTCAACAAATCCTAAAACGACAGAATCAAAACATTCATGTATAACATAGGCCTGGAATTGCCAATATTTGAGGAAAAAACTAAGAGCAAAAATCTGGCTAAAAAGAGCTTTGTTCTATAAAGATACTTTCATAGAAAGAAGCACAACATGTAAATTCTTTTTCCTCCACATTCCTTTTCTTTCATTGCACGCTCTCTAAATCACAGACTCCCCAGGGGGCGCCTGGGTGGCTCAGTGGATTAAAGCCTCTGCCTTCAGCTCAGATCATGGTCTCAGGGTCCTGGGATTGAGCCCCAAACCGGGCTCTCTGCTCAGCAGGGAGCTTGCTTTCCCCACCCCCCTGCCTGCCTCTCTGTCTACTTGTGATCTCTGTCTGTCAAATAAATAAATAAAATCTTTAAATCACAGACACCCCAAAGAGGATTATCAACCCACAACCATCCTCTTTCTCTCTCGTGATCTTAAATGCTCATCTGCGTCAGTTCTCCCCCCTGTGCAACCAGTACTCCAGAGTACGATGGTTCAATTTGTAGATACTGCTATATAGCAGAGCTACAGAAAGGCACAATTCAATAGAATATTTGACATTTAGCATACTAGTGAGACAACTCCAGATCAACAGTTTCATAAAATATGAAAACAATAATTATCAGTTTTAACAGAACAAAAAAAAAACAAAAAGTGACATGGAGTAAGGACCCAAAATACCAGAAAAGTGTCAACCAGTGACATTTTTTTAGGGCAGAGACCAAATTCACCCCATCAGCTAGCTGAAAGCTGGCATAGGAGAGTAGCAAGATCATTGGTTTGGGAGCCAGAGAGAGCAATCGGGATTCAAATACTGATTCCAGCATAACTGGTTATGTTCTCCAGCAAGTCACTTAACCTCTCTGGTTTCCTCATTTATTTACTTGTTTATTTATTATTTATTTTTAAAGTAATCTCTACACCCAACGTGGGGCTCGAACTCATGACCCTGAGATCAAGAGTGAGATGTTCTACCAACCATGCCAGCCAGGTGCCCCAGCTTCCTCATTTATTAAATGAGGTTAACACCCACCTGAAGGATGAAATAAAGTCTATGAACACCCGAACTCTCAACAGGACTCTTAAGTGTGTTAGTTTCTTCCCTCATAGAAAGACTATATTGGGCACCTGGGTGGCTCAGTTGGTTTAGTGACAGCCTTCAGCTCAGGTCATGATCCCAGAGTCCTGGGATTGAGTCCTACATCTAGCTCCCTGCTCCATGGGGAGCCGCTTCTCCCTCTGACCTTCTCCCCTCTCATGCTCTCTCTCACTGTCTCTCTCACAAATAAATAAATAAAATCTTAAAAAAAAAAAAAAAAAGGCTATGTTGACATCTTAGATAGTGGGGCATCTCGATGGCTTAGTTGGTGGAGCATACAACTCTTGATTTCAGAGCTGTGGGTTTAAGCCCCATGCTGGATATAGAAATTGCTTAAAAATAAAATCTTTAGGGGGGCCTGGGTGGCTCAGTGAGTTAAAGCCTCTGCCTTCAGCTCAGGTCATGATCCCAGGGTCCTGGGATCGAGTGCTGCATCGGGCTCTCTGCTCAACAGGGAGCTTGCTTCCCTTCTTCTCTCTCTGCCTGCCTCTCTGTCTACTTGTAATCTCTGTCTTTCAAATAAATAAATAAAATTTAAAAAAAAAGATTTTTAAAATAAATAATTATTGGGGCACCTGGATGGCTCAGATCATTAAGCATCTGCCTTTGGCTCAGGTCATGATCTCCAGGTCCTGGGATCGAGCCCCATGATGGGTTCCCTGATCACCAGGAGTCTGCTTCTGCCTTTCCCTCTCCCTCTGCCTTTCCCTCTGCTGTGCTCTGTCTCTCTCTCTCTCTTTCTCTGTCTCTCACATATGTATAAAAATCTTTAAAAAAATAAAAAGTTATTTAATAAAATAAGATGGGGGTCTGTGCCCTGCCTCTCATAATTCTATAATGCAGTACTGGTATAAAAACCTTCCCCCCAAAAAAAAAAAAAAAAAATTATGTTCAGTTTTCAGCCCTGTCATCTCAAACAAGGTTTCCATTAAGCACCACCTACACCCAATACCATAAAATCTACTTATACACAAGAAATTCATCTTAATATCAGGATCGTAAGACTATTCTTCCTTCCTTTTTCTTCTGTAGTATTTTCTTCTTTCGTGAAGAGGACTAGTGTCTCTAGTTTAAGACAAATGACTCATTACAGGAATATAATATGGAACCAAAAATGCACATACGAAGCTTTCGATCCATTTCTTCGCATCTTCTAACTTCATTCACAAATTTCCGCTGGAAAACATTCACATCTGGATTTAACTGCAAAATAAGAACACAATACCACATATTTAAATGCTGCATCTATTTTCTGTTTCACAAGCAACACTCTGCAAAGCGAAAATCTAACATGCTGTGTCAGTGCATGATGCAACACTAACACAAATGGCCTACCGATCTACATAAATTGTTTTGGGGCCAATCACATCAACTGAAGGTACAAAACCCTCCTGCACCATAGCACCATATTACTAGAATGGAGGCAAATTAGAGAAAACAATACAGTACAAAATGGTCTTCCCAGGCCAAGGTCTCAGTCAGCTCCCACAACCAAAAATTTGAGCAATGGCTCTAATAGAAGCTCTGCCAGGTTTTCCTTCTCTTCATCCCCATCAGAAGACACAGAAGGCAAACTTCTCTTATTCTTCCAGGGTCTTCACTTCCTAGGGGACAAGCTGGTTTTTCATTCATACATCACAAGTAATTTTCAAAGCAATGTGACAGACATTCTGGGAAATACAACAAAAATAAAACTTCCTACTTACTAAGAAGCCTGCAGTCTAATAAAGAAAAAGGATGAAGACAACCAGTAAGATACCACGTGATAAATTCTTTTTTTTTTTTTTTTAAGATTTTATTTATTTATTTGACATCCTGAGATCACAAGTAGGCAGAGAGGTGGGGGGGTGGGGGGTGCGGCAGGGGGTAAGCAGGCTTCCTGCTGAGCAGGGAGCCCGATGCGGGGCTTGATCCCAGGACCCTGAGAGCATGACCTGAGCTGAAGGCAGAGTCTTAACCCACTGAACCACCCAGGTGTCCCCCATGTGATAAACTCTATAAAAGTAATACAGATAAGGGGCACCTGGGTGGCTCAGTCTGTTAAGGATCTGACTCTTGGTTTCGGGTCAGGTCGTGATCAGGTCAGGCTCTGCACTTAGCATGGAGTCTGCTTAAAATTCTCCCATTCCACGCCTCCTGGGTGGCTTGGTTAAGCATTTGCCTTTGGCTCAGGTCATGGTCTCAGCCTGGCATCGAGCCCTGTATCGAGCTCTGGGGGTAAGGGGTGGGTCTGCTTCTCCCTCTTCCTCTGCACCTTCCACCACTTGTGCTTCTCTCTCACTTTCTCTCTCTCTCTGTCTCAAATAAATAAATAAACCTTTAAATAAAAAAATAAAAAGAACAAAAAAAAAGATTTCTCACCCCCTTCCCTTTGCCCCTTCCCCCTGCACATGCACACACTCTCTCTAAAACAAATAAATCAAATTTTAAAATGAGCTTAGAAGTAATTTTAAAAAAATTTTTAAAAAAGCAATACAAATAATGAGCTATGGTTACTCACTCAACATTTATGGAGCACCAACTATGTGCTAGGCACTATAATAGGCACCAGTGTAGATACCAAAGAGTATGCCCGAGCTTTGAGGAGTTATCAGACCCATGGATGAGACAGACACAAACTAATAAATACAATTTGTTGTGATAAATACTATTTTTTAAAAAGTAAATATTGTCATTTTCTTATACATTTAAACATACACCTACCTACCTCATGACTAAGCATTCCACTACTAGGTATTTGCTTAAGAGAAATGAAGACATGTCTCCAGAGATTTGTACAAGAATGTTTACAGCAGCTCTAGCCACAGTAGCCCCAAACTGGCACTGTTCCAAATATCCAACAACAGGAGAACAGATAAAGAGATTGTGGTATATTCATGCAACAGAATACTACTCTGTAAGAAAAACAGAATCAACTATAGATACACATAAAAACAGACACATCTCAACACTAGCTGGAGTTAACAAAGTCAGACATAAGCCTTTGCAATGTATGATTCTATTTATATAAGTTCAAGAAAGGCAAAACTAATCTATGATGGTAGGAATCAAACTAGTGGAGAATGACCAGAAATAGGCAGAAAATACTTTTCTGGGCTGATGCAAATATTCTATATCTTGACTGGAGTGGTGTTTGCAGAGGTATAAAAATTTACCAAATCATCAGATTGTACTCTTAGGATCTATGCATCTCAGTGAATATAAATTTTACATCAAAAAAAAAAAAAAAAATGTGGTGGGGGGGAAGGAAAGAAAAGAAAAGGGAAAAAATGAAAGAACGAAAGAAAGAAATGAAAATATACAGGAATAACTATAAGAAAAAAATGAGTAAGTCAAAAAAATGTATAAAGGAAACACCTGAGGTGGGACTCTGGGAGATGAGGCAGAGTTCACCAAGCAGAAATAGGCAGAACGAAGCAGAAAGACTAAGACAAGTGACTCAGAGACATAAATAAATTGTATATTCAGAGAAGGGGAAGAATTTTTCCATAGGCAGAATGGAATCAAATAATCCCATTTCTTAGAAACACTTTTTAAAGATTTACTTTTTAAAATAATACTGTATATGCAGAATAAATTGTAAGAGGGATAGACTGATAAATGGAGAAACCAGTAAGGACATTATCAGTATTATATTAATATTAGAGAGAAGCTAAGGCAAAAAGCATTATTAGAGATTATAAGAATAACTATTAACAATTTCCAAGAAGATGTAATAATCCTAAACTTGGATGTCTCTAAGAAAATGTTTGTTTTCTTCACTGAGCAGGCAGTATCTTGGCCTTCCATTCATAAATTTCCACTTCAATAAACATGAAACTAAGGCGAAAGGAGCCACAAAAGACTCCTGATAACTCTACTGGTTTCATTATCTGTAGGCAAAGTTCAACTGCAACCAGTGTCAGGTAAGACGTTTCAAAATATCTGGGCAAGGCATCCTCAAAATATTTCCAACAGAAATTAACAGAACCACAAGGAGACAACTGACAATCTATGTAGTGGAAAATTTTGAATACAATTTTAAATTATTAATTCAAAAAGTCTACCAAATAATAAGGAGAGAATATGTGAACAACCTAATCAATGAGCTTAATCTAAAACATACATACACATATTTTTCTTATCCCAGTATCCAATAGTTCTCTAGGAATTCATTATGAAAATTGAGCACAAAATAGGTCATACAGCAAATTATCAGTAAAGAACTTTACTATACAGATAATGTTCTATGATAACGCAATTAAGTTAAAAATCAAAATCAGGGGCACCTGGGTGGCTTAGTGGGTTAAAGCCTCTGCCTTCGGTTCAGGTCATGATCCCAGGGTCCGGGGGTCGAGCCCCACACCGGGCTTTCGGCTCGGCAGGGAGCCTGCTTCCTCCCCTCTCTCTCTGCCTGCTTCTCTGCCTACTTGTGATCTGTCTGTCAAATAAATAAATAAAAATCTTAAAAAAAAAAATCAAAATCAAGGGGCACCTGGGTGGCTCAGTTGCTTAAGCATCCAACTGTTGGTTTCAGCTCAGCTCATGATCTCAGCATCATGAGATGGAGCCCCATCTGTCTCCTACTCAGTGGGGAGTCTGCTTGAAGATTCTCTCTCTCTGCCCCTTCCCCCACTAGCATAAACACACACTCTCTCTCCCAAATAAATAAATAAGTCCTTAAAAAAGAAAAAGAACTCAGTATAAAAAATACAACCTAGGGTGGCCTGGGTGGCACACTCAGTTGAGTGGCCAACTCTTGGTTTCAGCTCAGGTCACGATCTCAAGGATCATGAGATCAAGCCCCACATGGGGCTCTGCACTACTTAAAAGGACTCTCTCTTCTAGGGCACGGGGGTGGCTCAGTCGGTGGAGTGTCCAACTCTTGATTTCGGCTCAGGTTGTGATCTCAGGGTTGTGGGATCAAGCCCTACAATGGGCTCCACACTCAGTGCAGAGTCTGCTTGGGATTCTTTCTCTCCCTCTGCTCCTTTTCCCCACAAATACTCTCTCACTCTCTCTCTTTCTAAAATAAATAAATAAAGTCTTTTTTTTAAAAAAAGGCTTTCTCTCCCTCTCCCTCTGCCCCTACCCTCCTGGCTCTATACACAAACTCTCTCTCTCTAAATAGATTAATTAAAAAAAAAAAATACAACCTAAAGGACATATTTGGAAATTCTAAAATAGTACTGAATAATTCATGGCTCAAAGAAGAAATCATGGGGTGCCTGGGTGGCTCAGTCAGTTAAGTATCTGCTTTCCGCTCAGGTCATGATCCCGGGGTCCTGGGATTGAGATCACATTGGGCTCCCTGTTCAGTGGGGAGCCTGCTTCTCCCTCTCCTACTTCCCCTGCTTGTGTTCTCTTTCTCTCTGCCAAATAAATAAATAAAATCTTAAAAAATAAATAAATAAAAAGACAAATTAAACAAAATTTTGTTAGACTGAGGGAAGTAATAAATATAAGAATCTAAAAAGGCAACTATAGTGCTTGCTTTGGCAGCATGTATGCTAAAAAAAAAAAAAAAAAAAAAAAAAAGGAAATATAGTTGTTTTGTTGGCATCAATTATAAAAAAAAAAAAAAAAAAAAAAAAAAGGAAATATACAGAGATTAGCACAGCCCCTGCACAAGGATGGTACACAAAATCCTGAAGTGTTCTGTACAACAAAAAAATAAGTAGGCAATTATAGATGAATAATACTAAAATACTAAAATGAGTGTTAGGCCAATAACTCCTCAGACAGTTTAGATTAAAACAATTTTCTAGAAAAATATAGCTTATCAAAACTGACAAGAAAGAAAAAAAAAAACAGAATAAGCCTATAATCAGTAAAGAAATCTCAATGGTTAAAATATAGCCATCTAAAAGTATCAGGCCTAAATCCATCAAAATCCTAGAGGAGAACACAGGCAGCAACCTCTGTGACCTCGGCTGTAGCAACTTCTTGCTAGACACGTCTCTCCACAGGAAAAACAAACGAAGAGAAAAATGAATACTGGGACTTCATCAAGATAAAAATCTTTCACACAGCAGAGGAAACAGTAAAAAACAAAAACAAAAACAAGACAACTGACAGAATGGGAGAACATATTTGCAAATGACATATCAGACAAAGGGCTAGTTTCCAAAATCTATAAAGAACTCATCAAACTGAACACCCAAAGGACAAATACTCCAATCAATAAATGGGCAGAAGTCACAAACAGTCATTTCTCCAAAGAA